GTGACAGAAATACAGCACAAACACACGCAAGAACATTCATAACAGAGAAACGCACAAACAAATAATATAAAAGTCGACACAACATGCAAACCACAGAACAACAACGAACATATTGTCCATCAACGAAAAACACCACAGGATATCAAAAACAGTGACGCGCTTACGTAACTAACATACAATCTCGAACTTTATACAATTATTTTCAAAATATTCGTCCAAACAATTTTCATGACAATAATGGTATTGAAAGACAATTTTATAATTATTTGGACTACAAACGATAAGACATAACATATTATCCAACCGAAACCATAACAGAAACATCAAAGTAAATCCATTAATGTTCGATGTACAAAACACCGAGACACGATTTAATGCGGAAAATATTGTTCTTGGGTCAGAGTCTTGGGATGTTTCCCTAAACTTATTCACTATTCTGATTAAGTATTATATTTATACATGTCGCTTTAACACTGCATTACCGACTCTTACAGGGGTGATAGCTATGATTAAAAATTCCTACCAAATAGAAAAAATATCTACCTCCTTTTACAGATCCCCTAAAGCAAGAGAGAAATTTGATAGTAAATGGGAATTGATTAAAACCTTAGTTTACACGTGAGGAGAGATCTTTCTTTTTTGTACTCACTTTAGGCTTTATAATAATTCATGTAGAATTAATAATATGTTTGATGCGCATCACAACTGGACAGTGATTTTTGTGCATCATAAAAGTGCTATCTATGATGTTTATTGATATTGTTATATATATATTGATATACTTGTTTTTGCTTGATTGTATTTGAATTATCTCCCCTTGACTTAGGTTGTCTTTTACTGTTGTTATTTATTTTGTGATTCTGTCCAACATGTCCTGTCTGACCCTTATCTGTTTATGATCTCTGGTGGCCTCTCCAGGTACCTCTCATGTTCAACATCATAGTATTGACCGTGATGCATGTGGCAAGAGGAGAAGGCTGATACCATCATTAACAATATCAACATATTCATGTACTCTAATCCAGAGTGATAAATGATGAGTATGATCTAATAGATAATTATCATATAGATAATAAAAAATTAGCATTTTTATCTTTTTAACTTTAGACTGTTATTGAAAAATTTAATATTAATACATGTATTATAAATTATCTATGTATTCATGTATCACAATGCTTGGTGCTTTTTCAGATAAAAAAAAAATAAATTACAAAAAAAAACACCGAGACACGCCGCACAGCATTCACATTCAGTATAACAGTCATATTGGGGAATATGACAATGATGGTATTAAAAGGCAATTTCATAATTATTTGGACAACAAACGATACGACATAACACATTATTCATCCGAAACCATAACAAAAACATCAAAAATAAAATCATGAATGTTGGATGTACAAAATACCGAGACACGTCGTATAGCAATGTAAATTCACTCTCGGTATAACAGTCATATTCGGGAATAGGTCGCGTTCGGTACTTAGCAGACAGACGACATAGATGTTAAACCACAATCTAAGACGTGGTTAAAATGTCATTAGTTAGTTTAGACACAGACACATCGTATAGATCAACCAATTCGTGATGGTGTCCATAAAATTTACGGAGTGTCATTTTTAATCTTTCCTCCTCATAAATCTGTTGGAGCAGTTTCTGCGTAAGGAGCCCACTCCTGTATATGAAGTCAGTATAGTGTGAACATGCACGAGCATAGCGTATCAATTGAGATATGTACACACCATACGACGGAGCAGAGGGTATATTACTGCAGAGAAATGGGAAATTGATAAAATAGTCGTATGTTTCTTGGCCATTTAACTCCATCTGATCTTTGAAATCTTACTTTTTTACATCTGATTCACGCCCCCAATAATGTGTTACGTAACGTTGACATCATATGTGCCTTGTTATACCTGTTCCAGAAATATAATATAAAAACAGAACCATGACCTTTTGTAGTTACAAAACTTATACCTTTTGTAGTTACAAAACTTAATAGTTTCGGTAAAGAACTATGTCTTACGAGTTGATAGCCGATCTTAATTATACGCAGGTTGCTGTTTTAACGAGTAGTTGATGTTATAGGTATTAAACTTACTGGGCGGGAAAGGATTTTAAGTAATATGATTGGCAACTGAAATCATGACCTTGCGCAATACAAAAATATGAGTATCGACAGAATGTTGAAACTTAAGACTTTTCAGCTGTATAGCAATACATATTTAGTAATGTATTAATTTATTGATAAAAAATGAATGTAAGTACCCGTGGAAACAATATTCATTGATCTCACTGCAATGTTCAAATGATAATCTTTGAGAATATCTTTATGCAACGGATCAATGACCTTACATGGATCGTATCTAAATGTACGGGCTCTAAAATCAACATCACTGTAAATATTAAGATGTGATATCCCGTTAGTTATAAGGTTTCTCCAGGTACAGCCAAAATGTCATATCTAATTTTTGTATCTTTAAAAGAATTTAGCAAGGGTTCTAAGTAATTCATTGTAATTGTAACGAAATACTTGACTTAAAATAGCATACCAGTTATACACTAGTCACGTTGATTAAATATATAACATCACTACTAAAACGGAGATAGCAAACAAGTTGTAAAATAACATCAAAATGGAGTCAAAGGAAAGTAACCGTCCAAAAAAGGAAAATTTACTATAGGAAACAACAAATCATCCCTTATGTCGTGAATTCTAGTATAGAATTTCCCGTTTGAAACTGAAATATCCAGAATATCTGGAATGTCATATTTTTGTAACTCTTCCTGTGATTCAGAGAGAACAACAACGTTGTCTGCAGACATAGAAACATTACTACTGTGGTTGTTTAAATCAACATGTTGAGTACAAAAATGTATATGGACGATCGTGAATAAATAACGGATGTACACTCAGAAAATTCACCCTGTATAACTCCTATTTAAGACCTTAATAAAGTGTGTTTTTTTTTTTACGAAACCTTTGTTTCAACGGTGCAATTTGCTGATAATGGAATAACATAGTTCTGCAGATGTAGACCTTTCATGTGAAGTTATGCATCAAAAGATTGTGTAACGCCTGCAGGTATAACAGTGCAAATTGCTTTAATGACGAAAAAGCATGCAAATAATGTATCTTTGTTTTATTGCAATATTTATGAATTACTGTTTAAAAACAAACAAATAACTGGTCAGCGATCTTGTTTTTGTCGAGTCTGTAACAAATGTCGCGGAAGCAAGACATAGTGAGGGTCTGGATAGGGGTTCTTCATTTGCGTATTCTGTAATTTGTTCTGTCATTTAAAAAAAAAAAATTTTCATGTTTTTCTGCCCATAATTCTCTATTCCTTATATCATAGCACCCATTGTTTTCTATTCTTTATTTTCTAGTCCAATTTTTCTCTATTCTTCATTATTTTTTTGCGCATTATTCTCTTTTCTGTAAAACCCATCCAGGCACTCGAGCTCATACCGATCTTGAATTCAGTAAACGTTAATGTCGTCAAAATTTAGGTAAAATAAACATAGACGTTTTGATTCAGGTTCAGTTTGTGGTTATTTTTTTTTATACATTAATACCTTTGTCAAGCCTTCATCGAATTTTACGAAAATTTAACAGAAGCTTCTTTATGATCAAAAGACAGTATTAAAAATAAAATCTGGAAAATATTTCTTTTTCTTTTTCAGTACTTTACTGATAAAAAGACTTGTTTTATTTTCAATTAACCTTTAGATACAGTGTTTTTTCAACGTCTTTTAAATCAATAACTTTGTGTAACCTTTTTGGCATTTTTTTAAAACTTGGATAGAAGCTTTTATATGATAAACAGATATAACATTACAAACAACATTTTGTTATAATGTTTTTTTTTTCTTTTTTTTTTTCTTAATTTTTTGGGTTTTTACAGATAAATGGAGTTCGATACATTCACATGGAATAAATTTGTTTAAACATCAAAGAATTTGTCAAATCTCCATACAATGTTCCAAAACTTGGATAGAACCTTTGGAACCATTACATAGCATCGGAAAAAAAAACTATTACACTGATAGCAGCAATCGGAGGTGTAAACAGAGTTCAACAGAACCATTTACAATTATTCTTAATATAAAATCTTTTATTTAAATCTAACTTAACAATTTACCGAGGCCGGGTTCTCCGTTTTTTTAAAACTGATGACAAATATGCCTATGTTACGACAAGTGTTGGATATAGTGCTCTTGATAGACAAATTATTATTATACGAGAGAAGCTGGATCCTTTAAATATCCCGTAGTGGATTTTATCCCAGATGGATGCAGTGATAACAAATAAGATCGTTCCAGACTTTTCGTAATATATTCCACAACACAAAGGATACTTTGTTAAAGTGATTTCCATTTAACATAGAAATGAAAATAAAAGGTTTGCGATGATACTTTGAAAAGTAAGGGCTTATACCTACGAAAAGTGTATCGATACTAATTTCTCTATCTATCCACACACGTTTTGTATTTTATCATTTGAGAACTAAGATGTTCAACAGTATCGCAATATTTCTTAAAATAAACCATTATTTTTCAAAAGTGTCGCGATACTTGGCATTTGTTGTTGAAATGCGTATCTGGTGCAGTACAATCGGTACCCTTAATGTCATTACTACCACTGGGTCGATACCTCTGTTGGTTGACTGCAAGTTCCCGAGGGTATCACCAGCCCAGTAGCCAGAACTTCGTTACTGGCATGGAAATACGGATATTGTATTATTGAAATTTGCTGTTATTAAATATTAGAAATTAGTTTAAGTCAAACCTCTGATTCTTTGACGGGCTTTTGTTTATACTTTTTGGGTTTATCAGCTCTTCAATTGTTCAATAGGCTTTGGATATTCAATGTGAAATGTTATAGTAAAGATAAGATGGATAAGCGATAGAAAAAGCAACGCAATTAAAGTATTCTAGTTGTGACATGAAATGCCACTCATAGATATGTAATTGTGTATAAAAACATTTAATTTTGTTTACAATCATTCACGCGATGGCGATCTTAAATAGTCAAAATTCTTTTTCTTTTATCTATGTATTACGTCAACATTTAAACAGTATCGTGTATCCATATTGACATTTTACTTTACTAAGGACACACTTACCTAGAAGCAATGACAGCTTATCAGAATGATCACAAGAAATAAGATAAGTAGGAACCTTTATTTATTGTGTATTGTTTGTATTTGTACCAATGTTTTTACATATAAAAATGAAGGTTAAAATGTAAATAAGAACAAATGAGTAAACTCAAAATGTATCATTATTATACCTGGTCGCGTTTATTTTTAGCGTAAAGCATAAATAGTGTTTACATTGATGTAATAATATCCCTTTATGAGTGTGCAATTATCCGGTAAGTTTTCGTCTTACTGATCTGCAGGACTTTAAAAATATTTTTTACATAAGGGTTGCACAAGAATAAATTGTATGGAACGTTGTGGGTGTCAGATACCTTGTTACTTTAAACAATCTTTTATAGACATGTATTGTAAAACAAGGTCGCAGTAGGAGGCACGTCCAATGTTTACTTGACGTTTTATTTAAAGGACTGCTCATAATAAGAGAAACCCGTCCATGAACACATACTAATGTGAATGGTGGCCATTATATGAGCATGGTGAGCAGTAGTAACCGTTTGATGGCACAAGTGTTATAAATGTGTGTGACCTTAGAGATGAACCGTACAATCTCAATGGGAGAATGCTATGTTTCTGGTCTTTTTGACTTTCAACTGATTTCTTTTTAACATTTCAAAACGATTTTTTTCACAATTTCGACACTAAAAGGAAAGAGCTTTGTTCATGTGTACATTAAGGCAAGGATAATTGTTTTTTTCTAAGATTCGTGCCCTTCAACTTGTTACATTCGGAAATTCTCGCCATAGAACATAATTAATTATCTGCCAAAAACCAAAACCTCCGCCATCATCATCATCATCATCATCTCCCCATGACCACCATCACTAGAAAAACCAAGCACTGCATCATTCTCTAACTCGTCTCACTGATATCATCAATAGCAACAAAGAACAATGTTTGTGTGGTGCTAAGCGTCTTATATGGGCAACCAATTGGTTTATGGTGAGTTCTTCGCTTGTGGGTAATGATGGACACAAGAAAAAAATCCACAAGCAACATGTGTCAAATATAAGCAGATAAAGCATTTATAATTATAATTTGGATAAATGGATTAAACTTATAGATGGTTTAAATCGTGTACAGTCGTGCTTACTTGTCACAGTCCCCGTATTCCAAAATCATATATATATATATATATATATAAATAGAAATCTAAATTGAAAACAACGTTCAAACCTATGATTGCGTTGAATAAAAACCACAATTTTTATACGTGTGCATGCAAAACAAATTTCTTGGTAGAGGGGTCTAAATACAGCACAAACAACATTTTCCAAAAGACCAAACAAGTGAAAAAGTATATTTTAACAAAACGCATTTGACTTGCAGGTCGAACAACGGATGTTCTTAAACCCTGCTGACTGCCATGGCGATTGCCAAATAAACGGATCACCAGATGTAACAAAATGGATCTTAATTATAAATTCAATACCAAACAGAAAACAATAAACTTGCGGAAAAGATGGTATACCGCAAACATGAGGTGCAAAATTTGGTACACCATATCCGGATTTCGAAATAAATGTCTCTTCAGTGATGTTAGGAATCGAAACGGTATTTGGAAGGCCATATAATTTACCTCTATTTAGGATAGACTCTTGAATTTTGAAGAGTCGAAATAGGATGAACGGATTATATAAACCCGAAGGCAAATATAATACAAGCCCAAACGAAAAAATATAAACAAGTCTAAACTGAAAACAACGTTAAAACATATGATTGCGTTGGATAAAAACCGCAATTTGTATACGTGTGCATGCAAAACAAATTTCTTGGTTTATATATATATGTATATTTATGTTTATAACATGTATAATTACACATAATACATCGATACATGTACAGTGTTCGTGCTTACAGTAATTTAAGTTTAACTTCTTTAATTTGAATTTGTGTACTGTTTCTTTAGATGATGTCAAAACAGAGAGTATGTGTAGTTGGTGCTGGCATCATTGGTCTGTCGTCTGCTGTTAGAATTCAAGAAAATATACCAGGGGTTGACATTACCATCATAGCAGATAAATTCTCCCCGAACACCTGCTCCGATGGATCAGGAGGATTTTGGGAGCCATTTTTATTACCCAAGGAATCACTTGCTCAATCCAAGTAAATACAATGTGTTGTTGTTTGTCATTAGTGATGGTTTCAAAGAAAAAAACTATCAAATAACTGTTTAATACATTAAAAGATATGAGTATTTAGGGCGGTCAAGGAATTTAATAACATTGCATTGGAACATGAAGAAAACAATGCTACATTGCAAAAAACACACGATGAATGAAAAAGCATTTTCACGTGCAATAAAGTCATATTTTGCCGAAAGATTACGTTTCTGCTATTTTGGATTGTTTAATTATAATTGTTTGGAAGTTCTGTCATAAGGTTGCAAAATCGATATATTTTTCAGTAAATGGTGTCAGGATACATGGGATTATTTAATGAGCCTCGTCAACTCGACAACTGCAGCAGCTTTTGGTGTCCATACAGTGTCTGGATATAATTTTACGGGTGTAAATATTCCAGAAGTAAGTTTTTTTAATTTACCTGAACACTCTTTTGTCATATTGCATACGAAGTATTAAAATTTAAACAAGACACGTAAGTTTTATCATATGTTCTACCGTACAATCGATTGAAAAAGGGCGTACACTCATATTGATAAGTGCGTGTATATTTTAAACTTTTTAAAACGTAAACTCAATTATACTACCATACACTGTTATACATACCTCCCTACCACTCACATACTCCAATGTTATTTCATTAAATATACCAGGCTTATAATTTTGGTACTCCAGAAACGCGTTTCGTCTACATAAGACTCATCAGTGTCGCACGAAAAAATTTAATTGCAAAGCCAAATCAAATATTACGAAGTTGAAGAGTATTAACAACCTTAAATTCCGAAAAGTTGTGCCAAATACGGCTAAGGAAATCTATTCGTTGGGGTTAGCCCTGAATTAAGTATGTCAGATACCTTGATAAAGCAACAAAAATAATAAGTCGTGAATGGACATGTAATTTCATGGGCAAGTGAAAATGACACACAAGAACTGCAGTACATAAAAGGCTTTTTGAATTATTTCCCCTTGGTCAAAAGACTGTAACTCCTAAATACAACATATCATTGATAGAAAAGAAATATCAATTCATGAAAAAATTTTACTACTACACTGCAACGACAACGAGTAATGATATGAAATCATTACCATTTTTGCTGAAAACAATAACTGCTAACATACTGCTATATCATAGGGTGTGCAGAAGCCTCCTTGGAAGACGTTTCAATTGCTTTCAGATGTTGTCACACGATCCATATTGCATGGCTCAAAGGGTTTGATAAATGTTTTAGATATTTAAAGACTTCAATACTGGCGTTACTTATATACCCTTGACGATTCTCAAATACTATTGTATTTTTAATGATATAATCACACGCCATATGAATAGGGATCTACGAAAGAATAGTTTGATGTAAGGATGTATCTTTTGAACTTTTCAGACGCTTTCTTTAACTTGATGTAATAAATTATCTTTTTTGGTTCCATCAATCTTTCCACAAACGTAGACCACTCGGACCTATATTGTATGATTTTTACAACGGATAAAGTTTAACGATTGAGTTCAGAATAAAGAAACTATACATGACCAACACTAATATAAATTCTCGTAGGAATAACTCATAAAACTTGTTAAGTCACAATGAAAGATTGATTGATTGATTATCTGAAATGTGCTGCAAGCTATAAAAAGTCAGAGAGCGACGAAATTAACAATAAACCCAATAGGTAGGTACTGCAAAGTGGTTTGTTTTGGATAAGGATAGCAACTGTGTCCTACCTCTGTCACCTACGAACTTGAAAGAGTTGCTTCTATGATTCGTTAACCACGACAAACAGTAGCGTTGTACTCTCCCAATGCCGATCAGATGATGCTGCGTATTTATAAATTCCGCACATTGTTGTCTCATAGGCAATTATATCACACCTTCTTATATTTTGTTATTTTAAGTAATACACGATTAATCTACCTTTTATTTTAAATATTCGTTTCGTGTCTAAGAAATCGAGTCCTGACACACCAACCAGAAAATGTCTTCACCAAAAGAAGTTAATTAGAATCTTTTTGAAAATTCAGCTGTGCACATTATAATCTTGGAATCTTTGATGAATTTATTTGTTATACATGGGTTCTTGTAAAAAAATTGTTTTGTGTACTTTAATCATTTTAATTAATAAAAGCATATATATAGAGCAACACATTCATGAAGAATGGAATTGCTTTACTATACAAAAAGCTAATTTTGTGCATGAATTTTGATTCTTAAAAGTAATTTAACAATAATATATAATTGAACGCAAGGATCCTCCATGGAAAGACCAAGTACTAGGTTATAGACGTCTTTCTGTCAAAGAGATAAAACTGCACCCTGAAAACAGGTTAGATATTTTTTTTTCTATTAAGTTCGTTTTATATGAAGGAATAAATATGCCTACATTTTATAAAAAAATATAAAATAAATTATCTTTTAGAATTATGTTATTTGAATTTGTCGACAGAAGCTTGTCTCAACTAAGTCAAATTGAAATGATTTCATTTAAAGCAAATTTAGAAATTTTGTTAGATTAAAGATACCTCAATAATTTGTGGCTTGAACGCGTAGCATGGATTTTTGTGACTCGAATACATCTGAATATTATTTTATTACAAATTTGTTCATCAATTAACACACAGAGGAACAGTATGTTGAAAAAAAGCTTCGATTCTAAAATCACTGTAATGATGTTCGTGAATTAAAACATGCATATAGTATGAATGTTGGGGAGGGTATCTGATTATAGATATCAAGCAACTAAAAAAGCTATAGACAGCAGGAAAGGTAAAACAAAAGTCGATTAAGATTGAAAGTTGTGATACAAAAACAAAATATGCATTTTTAAACAATTAAAATGTTTTTTGTCTTATTTTTTCATTTATTTTTACAATAAGAATATGAATCCACATATTAATGTTGTAATCGATTACCATTTTCTACATAAGGAAATGCCTGTACCAAGTCAGGAATATAACAGTTGTTTTCCATTCGTTTGATGTGTTTGAGCTTTTGATTTTGCCATTTGATAAGGGACTTTCCGTTTTGAATTTTCCTTGGAGTTCGGTATTTTTGTTTTTTTTTTTTATTTTTTTGCCATATACAAACTAAAAGTTAAGTTAATCCTTTTTTGTTATTGAAAGTATGAATTAAAAAATTAATAGTTACACTTAAGACTATTTTTAAACAATTATAATCATGCTTAATACCTGACACCTTATCTTACAGAGATGGAGTATTTTATACAACAATGATGATAAATGTAAAGAAATATCTACCCTGGCTCATGACACAGTAAGTATACTACTTCCTTAATTACAGACATATGAAGAAGTATATAACATCGGTAAAATACTGGTGTGTACATATCTGCTGTTCATTGATAAAATAGAAATAACAATGATGCATATTATAGAAAATAAATATTGCCTATTTTAATAAATATACAGCTAAACATGACTATAAAACTGGGGAAATGAAATCTATGTTTTATACTTATGACACAGAGTTGTCGGATATACTCAAATAGTAAGTATCCAGGGATGTTGTGATCATGGGTTTTTATGGGTTTTTTTTATCAGAACCAAAATACATTTTTGATATAAATATGTATACAGTAGATTGTAAACTTTATTCAAAATTTTGCATATGTTAAAATCAATACCAATCAATTGCGATCAAAATTTTTACTTTCCCAATACTTCTTGCAAATAAAATAAGTCTAAATTTGTTTCTAAATGGAATAAAAAAATAATATAGTTTTTCTGTTTTTCGTACCAAGTGTCAATCTTAAGATTGCTTGATTGATTAATGGTTGCTTAACGTCCAGTGGGAAATAACTCATGCATGTTCAGGACGAGAGCAAATTACCAACAAATACAATAGGTAGGTCCTGTAATAGAGGCCATCCGGAATGAGGTCGGGAAAATTTTTACTGCTACTGGAAAATATGAGTATATTGGATAGGGACTGAAATTTTATCTTACATCAGGTCACCTGCGGACCCCTCAAAGAGTTGTTGCAAGGGTTCTAAACGTGCAGAGAGCGTGGCACTCTCTCTATACGAGGCATGGATTTAACGTCCCCGTTCTGACCGGACGTGACTGCGTACTTGTACATCCCGCATAGCCAAACGGACGCCCCATTTTGGCAAGGGTTTTACTGCCGGTCGGAAGATAACCAAGAGTGACCATATTTCTATTCCCTAGTCACCATTGGGGCTTCAATCTAAAGAGGAAAATGATAAATGTAAAGAGGAGTAGTTACATCAAAGAGTTAAATAAATTCACAGTTATCAATGAAAACATAAGAGAACCAATGACTTAGTAGCAATATCCCATTAAAATACCCCCTTATAAAATACAACTGCGTGAATTGAAACATTACATTTCTGAGAAAATATGTCAATTCATTGCCAACTAGTTATTCTGTTTTGAATGATGGTTTGAATACTGACTTAACTTTTGGATTCAAAAGGTGAAAAAAGAAAAAGAAAAAAAGAAACTGAAAGTAAAAATGAGATACAATTCAATGATATACATATGTTCTTTTACAGATTTCGAATAAAAAATGGAAAAGTAATCAACAGAAAGATAAATTCTTTGGAAGAGGTATAAAGCTTCAACAATTAAAGCCTTTAATATATAATATTAAAAGAAATATATTGAGAAACATCAGGCAATTGTGCGTCATAAATATTTGCTCAATTACATATTGAATACAAGATGATTAATGTCTATGAAGAAAGTAATTAGAATCGTATATTGATCGCTTCCGTTTGGTTCACTCTCGAATTGAACCCTTATCATTCAAAACAAAACAAAAAAAGTCCAAGAAATCAAAACCAATCAACACAAATATCCAGTTTAAGTAGTCCTTCAGTATTCGACAAAGTTGTAAATATTTGGACCTTTTGCAGCGTTTGAAATTTGTTGATTTGCATCGTAGTCATTTAAGAATGGGGGACTTAAGTGAAATAAACCTCTAATTTTTTTCATAGAACAGGACTGAACTACAAAAAAAACCTATATCCGTATTGTACAATGATGTGAAAAAGTATGGATGATGTCTTAAGTAATACAAAATTTTCTACAGTACTCAATTTCTTCAAGTAAAAAATGAACAAACAACAATACAACATAAGTCCTCCCCCCCCCCCCCCCCCCCCCCAAAAAAAAAAAAAAAAAACAATGTAAGAAAATACCTCTAAGAAATTCCTTTCCTGAACTAATTTTAAATCATTAACTTTAAATGACTCTTTTCTCAACAGGTCATGACAGATTATGATTTAGTTGTAAACTGCACCGGCATTGGTTCATACGACCTTGGAGACCCTTCTGTCTACCCAGTTAGAGGTCAAGTAATACGGGTAACTATTTATTTTACGACATTCGATTATATAATGTAAACAAATTACTTTAATCGTTTATATTAAATACTTACTGACCTTATTCAGATTAACAACTACGCCTATGAAAGGAAAAGAGGAATTGGCAAAGTGAACGGGTTGGGTTCACACTTTATTGAAATAGCAAAGCCAATTGACTGAAAATAATAAGATGATCATAAGTAAATATTTTGATACCTATATATATAAATAGCCATTTTTGCCTACTTTTGTAGGTAAAAGCACCTTGGGTAAAGCATTTTTACTTTGACAAGGACCCTTCGGAAACAAGAAATAAAATTTATATATTTCCAGGGTAAGTAAAGACTGTATGTTTATACACATTTATTAATACGTTAGATGGACCAATTTATTTATTAGGTTAGATGGACCAATTTATTTATTAGGTTAGATGAACCAATTTATTTATTAGGTTAGATGGACCAATTTATTTATTAGGTTAGATGGACCAATTTATTTATTAGGTTAGATGGACCAATTTATTTATTAGGTTAGATGGACCAATTTATTTATTAGGTTAGATGGACCAATTTATTTATTAGGTTAGATGGACCAATTTATTTATTAGGTTAGATGGACCAATTTATTTATTAGGTTAGATGAACCAATTTATTTATTAGGTTAGATGGACCAATTTATTTATTAGGTTAGATGGACCAATTTATTTATTAGGTTAGATGAACCAATTTATTTATTAGGTTAGATGAACCAATTTATTTATTAGGTTAGATGGACCAATTTATTTATTAGGTTAGATGGACCAATTTATTTATTAGGTTAGATGGACCAATTTATTTATTAGGTTAGATGAACCAATTTATTTATTAGGTTAGATGGACCAATTTATTTATTAGGTTAGATGAACCAATTTATTTATTAGGTTAGATGGACCAATTTATTTATTAGGTTAGATGGACCAATTTATTTATTAGGTTAGATGAACCAATTTATTTCACCTGGTCTGCATTTACCCTTCATTTCTTAACTTTTCCTAACTTCCTTTGAAAAAACAAGGTCATGTTGAAGATTTTGAATGAAAATTTCATTTGATACCGTTGATGATAAATAACTTGGCTGTGTTCATGTTTTTTTGCAACATTAAGAGCAAATGATCTTAAAATTCTATAGTTTTCAAAATTATCAAGAAACTCATTGTAAGACACTCATCAAATATACCCGGTTTATAATTAGTTACGCCATGCGTGCAAAGTCCCAAAGATACTCCATATCGTGCAAATTTCTTAGCAAACATGGTGGCAATGATTCAATTATAACCTCCCGCCGAAACCAATTGGAAACCATTTTAAAACAATTCTCTCAAATAGCTCAGTAAATATCAACGAACATTTAATGAGAAATATATAAAAATTCCTTTGTAAATACATGGATTTTATTTGTTTTTTAACATCGTGTAATCAATAGTTCTGTTTGATAAGGTTTGACATTTTTCGCTACCCTAGTGGCATCACTCGTGTTACTCTTGACATTTTTCGCTACCCTAGTGGCATCACTCGTGTTACTCTTGACATTTTTCGCTATCCTAGCGGCATCACTCGTGTTACTCTTGACATTTTTCGCTACCCTAGTGGCATCACTCGTGTTACTCTTGACATCCCGTGGTCTTCTGTCAAATACTTTCCGTACCTGTAAACATTTTTTTTAATCCCTGAAACTTTCGAAAAGAAAACTTCAATTTTACCATGACATTTAAGAATCTTTGGTATAGTGTTTTCTTGTAATCAGTAACTTATGTATCCTTGTTACTGTTTTTTTGTTTGTTTTTTATTTCATAGGAAAGACTTCGTGGTCTTAGGTGGCACGTCACAGATAGGAAATTGGAGTACAGATGTAACAGAATCAGATAGAAAGAGGATATTGGACGGTTGTTCAAGGTTGATACCCAGTCTGCGGGTAAATAGTATGATACAATTACTCTTTTGTTCACTTATTAGTTTCGTGATGTTTGACAATAGATCAGACCGTCACCCATAATTAATCAGCATTTCATTTTTAAAAATTTACTAAAACTATAAAATAAGCTCTCAAAGAAAAAACTGAAAAACTGATTGCCATGGTTTGAACCTCCACATTAGAATGAAATAAGTTGCTGTATTGTTCTGATTTTGATATGCATTTGTGTCGAATTCCTGCTTTTTTTTTAACATGAACAAAAGCTATCCATGAAATGACAGGTCCTGACATAATCTATTAATAGTTCCTCAAATTCACCGTTTATAATTTAAAAATAATTAAAAAAAAAAAAAAACGTTCGTACTCCCTTATGCAAATTTCCCTTAGTTGCATTTGGCTATTCTATTAAGGACACGTTTTACAATGTATGTAATAGTGTATTCCTTTTTCAGTTTTTTTTTTAACTTTCCGATATTTTAATCTTAAAATATGATTACTCTGGCTAAAATAAAAACCAATAAGACAACCGGTTTCCTGCTTATAAATACCTGAGATAATCAAAATAATCAAAAGTAACCTGTGTGTTTTCTGTTTCGCACTATTTTTTGGAAAGACAACACAAGTGTAAATTTACTAATCGGAAAATTTATACGCCGGAATAAAAGTACGCTTACATGTATTTTGAGTCTTTAGTCATTTTGTTTGTTATTTTCGTGCTTTGTATCTGATCTGATTTTTATAGTTTGTTCTTATGTTGAGCTATTACACCACTGTTCCCACTTAGAGGAGGGTTGGGTGCCCGAAAACAATTTTAATCCTGCCACATTCTGTATTTGCATGTCCCAAGTCAGGAGCCTGCAATTCTGTGGTTGACCTATATTTGATAACTTCTACCTCGTTTGGTCTCTGGTGGAAAGTGGTCTCATTAACAGTCACACCAATATCATGTCTTCTTATTTGTATATACTATTGGTCATATTGCTCCATGTGTACTTATAATTCCTTGGCTTTCAAATATTTTGGTTTGCTCTTTCTTGATGAATTTCAATCCAGAATAGAGCTTCGGACAAACCAAATTAAAGTTATTTTCAGTTACTAGAACTAGGTCGGCACTGCTGCAGTTGGGCTGTTTAACCAGGGGGATGTCATCAGCTCAGTAGTCAGACCCTCGGTACTGACATAATGTATAACATATTTTACTTAGATTCTCCGTTGATAAATTAAGAAATATTTAAAAGAAAAAATAGCTAAGGTTCCAAATCTCTCAGAAAAAGTTGAATTTGGCTGCTCTTTTTAATCACTTTGTGGTCATAATGCTGCTCATGTGTTTGGTATTTATGCATCATTGTCTTTCAAATTGTTTTGAACGTTCTTAGTGAAGGGCTTGATGAAGCTAAATCTAGAAAAGCACTTTGGACACACCAAATTTATAAAGTGTTAATTTAATTAGGAAATGAAAACTATGATGCATTTTTAGCTCACCTGGCCTAAAAGGCCAAGTGAGCTTTTCTCATCACTTGGCGTCCGTCGTCCGTCGTCTTTAACTTTTACAAAATTTTCTCCTCTGAAACTACTGAGCCAAATTTGACCAAACTTGGCTACAATCATCATTTGGGTATCTAGTTTTAAAAATTGTGTCCGATGATCCCGTCCGCTAATCAAGATGGCCGCCATGGTTAAAAATAGAACATAGGGGTAAAATGTAGATTTTGGCTTATATCTCTGAAACTAAAGCATTTAGAGCTAATCTGACAGGGTAAAATTGTTCATTAGGTCAAGATCTATCTGCCCTGAAATTTGCAGACAAATCAGACAACCCGTTGTTGGGTTCCTGCCCCTGAATTGGTAATTTTAAGGAAATTTTGCAGTTTTTGGTAATTATCTTGAATATTATTATTGATAGAGATAAACTGTAAACAGCAATAGTGTTCAGCAAAGTAAGATCTACAAATAAGTCAAATGATCAAAATGGTCAATTGACCTCTTAAGGAATCATTGCCCTTTATAGTCAATTTTTAACAATTTTTGTAAATTTTTGTAATCTTTTACAAAAATCTTTTCCTCCGAAACTACAGAGACAAATTTAATCAAACTTGGCCACAATCATCATTGGGTATCTCGTTTAAAAAATGTGTCCGATGACCCCGCCTACCAACCAACATGGCCGACATGGCTAAAAATAGAACATAGGGTAAAATGCAAGTTTTTTCTATTATTTTTTTAACCGTTATAAATAGAGAAAATCTGAAAGGAGAAAAATGTTCAGAATAATAAGCTCTACCAATTGTTTATATACGTCAAAACTGTTAGACAATTCTTATAGGAGTTATGCCCATAAATTACAAATTTTACCATTTTTGTTTCATTTTTGCCTATTATCATGAAAACTATGATATTTTAATAGAGAGAAACATTTTTTTTTCCGTTATGCCTTATATGATTTAAATTATAATAGATAAATAAACACTTTAAATCACAAAAATGATCATCAAGGCAAGATCTATTAAAAAGTAAAATTTTGCCGATATAGTTAGTAGCAGAGACATATAATACAATTGTATTATATGTCTCTGTTAGTAGACTGTCACTCTTCATAGGAGTGATTGCCCTGAAATGAGTTTTTTTTACCCTCTTTTGTGTTTTGAGCAAAAACTAAAGAAGATAGAGAGAAACTAAACAGACTAAAAGATCATTAATACAAGATCAACAAAATAGAGAATTTTGTCATGAAGTCTATTCTCGTCTACAATGTTGGAGAGTGTCCTTTGTTTGATATGCACATAGACCAAGGTGAGCGACACATTCTCTTTAGAGCCTCTAGTTTACATCTAGTTTTAAGATTTTAGTAGCATTTTTTTGCACTTAGAGTGACATGTTATTTTATGCTACCTGTGTGAAAAAAACAAAACAAAAAATGAAGAACAAAATTAGAATGATACACTCATTTTTGGGGTAATTAAGTAACAAAAAAGGAAAGATTCTTATAATTACTACTCCATATTGATAAGTAAAATGTAGAAAACGATTATTTTTTTCCAAACACGATGCACCTTTTTGAGTATGACTATTACAAAAACAGTAACTGTAAAAAAAAATTTACTTAAGGAAGCAGAAGTATTAGAAGAATGGACAGGTTTAAGACCATCAAGACCAACAATACGATTGGAGAAAGAAGATGTATGTTTTAATGGAAAAACGGTAACAGTAAGTTTTAAATTCTGATCGGTTCAAGAAACAAAAATCACATAATCAAAGGCAATTTTAAAAATGGTAAACAGATCGTTTCATGAAGTGAACTCTTCATCCTTCATATTATTCATATTTAATTGCAATTTCATGAAAATTATTACGACTATTTCAGAGTATTTGCAATTTGGATTACCTTCAATTTATATTACCAAAATCTACAGTTTGGAAACTGATTACTTTGCAAATCATGTAAAGTTATTTTTTGGACAATGCTGACCAGTACAGAATAAACCGAAATAAAAACTTGTCACGGACTTGTTAATTGAGGAATTAGTTGGAACGACTTGTCACGGACTTGTTAATTGAGGAATTAGTTGGAACGACTTGTCACGGACTTGTTAATTGAGGAATTAGTTGGAACAACTTGTCACGGTCTTGTTAATTGAGGAATCAGTTGGAACGACTGTACATTGCATGATAAAAACGAATATGCTACAAAACACCAAGGGTTGAAGGGGTGTAGAAAAATTGTCATATCTGTTTCGGCAATAAAACCCTTGCTAGAGTGGCGTTCATTTAGCGGTGCTGGATGTGTAAGTACGTACCCACTTTCGGGTAAAATGAAAACATTTATTCCGCTGCCTCGAGTAGGGAGAGTGATATTCGTTATAGAATCATTGCAACAACTCTGAGGGGTTCGAAGATGGGCTGTTGCAAAGATAAAAATGACTGTCCCTTATCAAATATACCCTCATTTTAAAGTGGCAGTCGTAATTCCGACTTTTCAGCCATGTCGGTTTACCTTGCAAAACTATCTATTACAAAATTAATGATTTGATTGTGTCCTGCAAATTCATGAAATAATTGCCAGAGGCTTTTATGCAAGCAACAATCAATCAATCTGAATAAACAAGTCATCATATCTTATGAGAAATTTTAAATACTACAAGATGCCCGCGAAATCGCGGTACAATTGGGCAAGTGTTGAAACAAAGAGTGTCAAGGGTGCCTGTGTTTACACATAAAAAGGGGGGAGAGGTCCGGACGTCGGGTGCCTGTGTTTACACATAAAAAGGGGTAGGATCACTTCGACACGTTCAACGCCCATTTCATTTTTGAACAGTTCTGCACCTCAGTAAAAAGGGTGGATGTCGTTTAATTTAGCAAAATTCTTACTTTCACTTGGATTTCGCGGGCAGTACGTCGACTGAGCATGCGCGAAAGCGTATAAGACACGGATCAATAACGGTCTCCGAATTTGGATATTTTCTCAAAAATTGTCGTTTTCTGTGGAAAAAATATTGTTTCAAAGACAAATTTAGGAAGTACAAAACACTACATTTATACGTCATATCACAAATATTTCGACTTAGTATGGTTTCAGAGGAGTTGCGGCTCAATGAAATCGGTCTCTTCCTTTAGTAGTATAGAAACGATTTTCAATTTCACACTTTATTTTAAAAAATGAGCTTTTATTTCTATCCAAACAGATTCAAATTATAGAACGGTAAACCTTATTGTTTCGGTGTATGCAGCCTATATGTCTTATCATCCTTTGGGACAATCATAACTAAAAATTGTCGTAAGACGCTGGAAGGGACATATTTTAACCTAAATGGTCATAAATTCCAATAATTAATTCAGCATTTGAAGTCATCTTTGCCAAAAGCAGCTGAAAACATAGATTTCAAATTTTCAAAGCTACATTATATTATGAAAATGCATGCAATAAATCATGGTCGATGTAGAAATATTATTAGTTACACAATGTGCTAGTGACCTTATACGATATAAACGGGGTCAGAAAATTCCAAATGGGGTGAGAGCGAACCCTATATGGAATTTACTGACTCCGTATATATCGTATTAGGTCACTAGAATACTGTGTAACGAATTTATCTAACCGACTATCTTAACATGTGGAATTTAGACTAGTGGACCGGGTATTAAAGTGATCAAGTCTTTAAAAATATTAAGAACCTACTTTCATTGGTCTATACAAAAACAATTGCCAACAATAACAATTTGTTAGCTTTTAATGTTTTTTTCTGTATTTGTTTTTACATCGTTTATCATCAATTATTTCATCTGTTGTCTTGGTGAAACGTTTACGATTTTTCCTCAACGCCAATGATGTTGTTTTTATAAAGGGACGTAACACTACTACTAACCATGTTTTAAAATAAAACACGTCCAAAAACCTAATATTAAATATACAGGGTCTCCGCGTGTTTGCTATTAACCAATGATATTCATAGAAATGTAAAGAAGGTACGATAATGAACATTGCGCGAATTATACGTTTTATGTATTACAGCTAAGGAGTTGTCGTAAATAATTGAAAAATAACAATCGATATATATTTTAGATTATTCACAATTATGGGCATGCAGGATCAGGAATTACATTATTCTGGGGATGTGCAAAAGTTGCTACAGATCTAGTCACGGAGAGCTATAGACTCAGACAGCAATCAAAATTATAGGATTCGACTTCGGTTATAAACTCATAGATATGATTTATGTTTTATTTAGCAAATATTATACATATTAATTAATGTTCTGATAAACCTGGACACATTTCAATGTTATCGCATTACATAATAGGTACCCACAGAAACTGAAATGATAACTTGATTAGCTAAAGTTGATTTGGATCATGGTTTAGGGGGTGCCAGATGGCATTAGATGGTGAATATCATGAGACCATTTCATAAAATTCCTTTTAGGGATTTAAGCGGAGAAGCGGATACAACTGTTTACTGTAGTGTGTAGATTTAAGAAGTTCGTGTTACACCAAAGAAAACCCTGAAATCATTTGGATGAAGAAATGAAATAAAAATGCAAAAGCAAATCATTTTAGTAAGATTTCGTAAAAATTATTAAGATAATTGTTAAGCGATTCAAAGGTAGTTACGGATACAAAAGTTAAAAACGGACGGACAAATGAACGGATTCACGTATAACCGAACTCCCTGACTGGCCCATCATTATGTAACGTATGCGTAAGAAATAAGTATGCAACATAAGCAAATGATTTTTTACAAAGATGGAATTGTAGTCACTTTAAAAAAATCAAACGAGCGTTGTTTCGACATAACATTAAATCTTAATAAATCGAAAGGACATATAATAATATATGCCCAACACTCGAGATGACCTAAACAAAAAATTTGTTCAATACATTTAAATTATTTGAATTTATAACATTAATTGATTTTTGCATGAAATTGTTTTTTTGTTTTTTTGTCATGTGAATTCCTCGCTTATTATGAGCAAGAGGATAACTATATTTGGTATATGGGTTCCTTGCAACGTCTACATCTCCGTCCAACAGGGTTCACCTGACCTCGACATCATTTCATGGATCAGTTATCAAGGTTGAAGTTACGTGATTAGGTCCGTTTCTAAAGTGCTATAAACAGTAGATCAACTATATGTGGTGTATGGAACGATTGTAAGGGGTACATGTCAGTCTGGCAGGTTTCATCTGACCTTGACCTCATTTTCATGGTTCATAATCAATGTTAAGTTTGTGTGTTTTGGTCTGTTTGTCAAGTACTATTAGCAATAGGTCAACTTTTTTTGGTGTATGGAATGATTGTAAGGTGTACATGTTTGTCTGGCAGATATCATCTGGCCTCGACCTCATTTTCATGGTTCATTGTTCAATGTTAAGTTTTTGTGTGTGGGTCTGTTTTTTTCAAATACTAATAGCAAAAGGTTAACTATATTTGGTGTATGGAATAATTGTAAGGTGTACATGTCTGTCTGACAGGATTTATCTAACCTTGATCTCATTGTCATGGTTCATTGGTCAATGTTAAATTTTTGTGTTTTGGTCTGTTTTTCAAATACTAATAGCAATAGGTCAATTATATTTGGAGTATGGAATAATAGTAAGGAGTACATGTCTGTCTAACAGAATTTATCTGACCTTGACCTCATTGTCATAGATCTTTAAAAGATAGTTAAGTTTATGTGAGAACCTTTATCTTTAAAACTTTAAACATAAATTCAATGGTCAGTAAAGCAGGCGAGACATTTCAGCTTGTGCGCTCGTGTTGAAAATATGTTTGCCTTTCAGGTTTTAACTTGGCTAGACTTATATATATTATTCAGTGGTTGTCGTTTTTTTTTTGTTGCTATATATCATTTTTGTTTTTCGTTTCTTGTTTAGAAAATAAATGGGGCCGTTAGGTTTCTCGTTTGAATTGTTTTACATTTGTCATTTCGGGGCCTTTTATAGCTTACTATTTGGTATGGGTTTTGCTTGTTTTTGTAGGCCTTACGGTAACCAAGGTTGTTAACTTCCACGTTATTTGGTCTCTGGTGGAGAGTTGTCTTATTGGCATTCATACCACATTTTTTTATTTTTATATTATATGTACAAACAAACAATTATCTGTGTATATGGAAAGTTCCTGTTACTAACTATTATTCGATGTGTTCAAAAACGTTGAGTAGATTTCGGGAATATATATGCATGTATATAAAATAAACAAAAATATGTTTGCCATTTGGTAATTTATGGAATATTTATATGTATGCAATTTCGTACCTTATAGAAGATTTATATGTATACCATTTCGTACCTCACGGTAGACTTATATGTGTGCCATTTCGTACCATACGAAAGATTTATATATGTAAGCCATTTCGTACCATATCTCTAAAACTGAAAAAAACCAAAGCAAGTTCTTTGATTAGTTACACAAGGTGAAAATTCTTTTGCAAACATTTTTATTCATGGCTTTCTTCTTGGGGGAATATCAGCGTGTCTCCCTTTTCGCTACATTTCCTGTCAAAAAATAACAGTTAGTAACTATAAAAAATAGTTGCAGATAATTATTCCTTAGTTGGTTAATTAACCTCATGTTTTTGAGTTAAAAAATAAAATAAAGTAATATGAAACGAGTTTCTACTAATATTAATGTTATCGAAATCATGGAACCAATGCATGCATATATACTAAACTAAGTCATGTATGCACTTTTTTTTTATATTTAATACGAATCTATAACGTATTATCGACAATTAATATTTCTTTCAGTGATTGTTGATCGTAAGCTAATTAACTTTCGAGTTTGTTGCCGAAGTTAACCGGATCGTGACATTGATAAACAATCAACACGTGGAGCACGTGACAAATAAGTGAATTGAAAGAGCCATGATATTTTGTTTAGTATTTTCCATGCGTTCCTATTTGTTAATTAAACTATTCCTTAACAATTGTTAAATGATTTGTTGTATCATATTTGTTCTTAAAGAATCGAATAAGTTATTACTATTTACTTTAACTTCCAGTGCACATTTGTTAACATTCTTTCATCACGGTTTTCCCCTCGCACTTGCGATGTGTGGTTGCCGAAGTTAAGGTTACTGCATACGGCGAATAAGTGTACGGGAAGACAATAATTCAATAGCAGTCCATTTTTGAAGATTTTCATAATATAAAGGAAAGAAAGTTCACGTACACTTGTTTTATAGTAAAACTTAGCCATTCAAGTATATAAAACATATTCAACTTTTTTATGCCCCCGCCGGAGCGAAGGGGGTATTAAGTTTTACCCTTGTCCGTCCGTACTTCCGTACGTCCCAAAGTTGGTTTCCGTTCTCTAACTATAGTTTGCCTCAACTAAATGCTATGAAACTTATACACAATGCTTATTACCACAAAATACAGATCAAGTTTGAATTTTGGTGGTGTCACTTTAACCGTTCTAGAGTTATGCCCCTTTACAGATGGAAAAATTGCTGAATTTTTCGTTTCCGTTCTTTAACTTAAGTTAGCCTCAACTAAATGTTATGAAACTTATACACAATGCTTATTACCACAAAATACAGATCAAGTGTGAATTTTGGTGGTGTCACTTTAACCGTTCTAGAGTTATGCCCCTTTACAAAAGGAAAAATTGCTGAATTTTTCGTTTCCGTTCTCTAACTTAAGTTTGCCTCAACCAAATGTTATGAAACTTATACACAGTGCTTAATATCACAAAATACAGATCAAGTTTGAATTTTGGTGGTGTCACCTTTACTGTTCTAGAGTTATGCCCCTTTACAAAAGGAAAAATGCTGAACTCTAACTTGAGTTTGCCTCAACCAAATGTTATGAAACTTATACACAATACTTATTACTACACAACTCAGATCAGTTACAAATTTGGGTAGCGTCACTTTTACCGTTCTTCGGTTATGTCCCTTTATAACTTTATATGATATGCAAGCGGGGACATCATCTGTGTCCCATGGACACATTCCCCATTTATTTAAAATTTGAAGTTTCGTATGACTTTAAGGATAAACCCTGCAAACAAACAAAGTGTAATTAAAAATATTAAAGTTTCCATGTACTGTTTAATTAAACCAATCATTGGTCTTCAGAAGTTTTCTACTACTGGAAGCATGTAATTTATGTCAAAACACTTTAAAAAAAATTTAGCATCAGCTCAAAATGTTTCATAACATATTTTACCTATTTATCTAAAATAAACAATTGATAACATTAGTTTATATGTTTTGTTGAATGGACCAGTATGAATTGAATATAAAACATTATAAAAATTTATAATGGGGCAGTATGAAAGACCTTTCCTTTTTTGAATTATACATTTTTGTTTTACAAACTCTCCATACCGATGAAGGGACAATATTTCGTCGATTTACAAATATATGATACGAAATACTAAACATGTATTTCATCTATGAGGTACGAAATGGTTAATGCGGTTGGCCCATAGGGTACGCAATGGTTTTGATCATGGGTACGAGATGGTAAATGCCGGGTACGCAATGGTAATTTTTGGTACGAAATTGTAGAGGTACAAAAAGGTCAGGTACGAAATGTCTAACTACCATTTTTACACTCTAATCGACGAACAAAGCATGTGACGTCATACATTAACAAGACGATGTCTGATCGATCGGAGTCTCCGCTAAACGATGTCAATTTATTTCCTCTAGTGGTCGTTTGTCTTTATATTCTTCTGCCAGTAAGAATAATTTTTTAATACATTTGTATACATAAAATGGACGTCGATATGAGACCGGCCACGGATCTGAGTAAAACATATATATATTAATATCCAATGCCAAATGGACTTTTGTTAAATATAGGGCGTTCCTTTCCTTGCTTATTTTGGAACAATTATATTTGATATAATAGAACATGGAATTGATATATAATATAAACATATTGAATTATTTAATTGTATTGAATGTAACACATCTTTGGTGGGATGTTGTCTCGCCTGCGACGAAATTCGCAGTATGCGACACTTAGGTATTACTAACCGGCAGCGACGGCGGCGGCGTAAACTATTTGTATAAAGCTTTATATTTCAGAAGGTAAAAGACCTGGATGCTTCATATCTTGTATGCACATACCTTATGTTACGAAGTTTCCATCTGTCATATGTCCATGGTCCTTGACCTCATTTTCATGGTTCAGTGACTGCTTGAAAAAAAATTCTAGTTTTTTGTCATGTGAATTTCTCACTTATTATGAGTAATAGGATATCTATATTTGGTATATGGGTTCCTTGGAACGTCTAAATGTCCACCAGACAGGTCACCTGACCTCATCTCATTTAATGGATCAGTGATCAAGGTTAAAGTTACATGATTAGGTCCATATCTGAAATACTGTAAGCAGTAGGTCAACTTTATGTGGTGTATAGATTGATTGTAATGGGTACATGTCAGTCTGGCAGGTTTCATCTGACCTTGGCCTCATTTTCATGGTTCATTGGTCAACGTTAAGTTTGTGTGTTTTGGTCTGTTTTTTAAGTACTACAATCAATAGGTCAACTACATTTGGTGTATGGAATGATTGTAACTTGTACATGTCGGTCTGGCAGGTATCGTCTGACCTTGACCTCATTTTCATGGTTTATTGGTCAATGTTAAGTTTTTGTGTTTTGGTCTTTTTTTCAAATACTTATAGTAATAGGTCAGCTATATGTGGTGTAAGGAATAACTGTAAGGTGTACATGTCTGTCTGGCAGGTATAATCTGACCCTGACCCCATTTTCATGGTTCATTGATCAATGTTAAGTATTTTGTGTTTTGGTCTGTTTTTCAATTACAATAAGCAATAGGTCAGCTATATTTGACGTTTTAAAAAATTGTGAGGTGGATATGTCTGTCTGACAGGATTAATCTGACCTGACCTCATTCTCATAGATCTTTAGAAATGTTAAGTTTATATGATACTTCTAGTAAAACCTTTATCGTTAATAGGGCATTAGCTACGAGATATAAAAAAAAAATAAAAATATGATTTTGTTTTGTTCAATCATTAATGAAAGTGAAATAGTGATATATTAATTAGCTTTTAGCAGCCAGTTTGGTTCAATTTTGTCAAAATAAGCGAAGAAACATCGCTGGTGAATTATTCACTTGCAAGTGAATAATTCGACCTCATTGAATCCGTATTCATGTGACCTTCAATTTAACCTCTTAGCTAGAGATGGGTTACGCATGAACTAGGCGTGTTCAGCTATCAAAAGGAAAAGAATGTCAACATTGGAAGTGAAACCATGGTAAACCATTTGGTTGATTCGATCCACAAAAACTCATTCTTATACAAGTAAAAACGATGATAAACGATGATTTACACATTTGTTTAACCTCTAATATGAAATCAAACAGACCTAGAAATTGCACGAGTTCGCTATCTATTTATATCTATGTTTATGTTTATATCGGGTTATATGACCGTCGGCAGTCTTCGGAGGTCACCTCGGTGGTTAATTAGATGGCGCCTAGTCTAAAATGCACACGAAATGCTGAGACATATTATCGTGTTCATGCATCATAAATTGTTTATTTTATACTTTTTAGTATTTGGATACACGTTTTAGTATGTTATAAGTCGAATATGAGAATTTGAGTCAAATCGGTGAACATGATTTTGACAGCTAATGGCCCTTTAAGTCTTTCAACATAAAATCAATTGTCAGTAAAGCAGGCGAGACATTTGAGCGTGTGCACTCTTGTTGTTATTATATATAGTTTGACAGACATTTATGTTATGTTAACCTTTAAGGGATATATTGTTTTCATTATTCACCATTACTTACTATTGTTATATTCGTCATCTATATAATAAATTGGCGCTTTCATTCACTTATTAGTTTGATATTCATCCAACCCTTCAAACGGACGAAGTCTGTGTTGACAAAAATATTATGATTATTTATAATTAACTACAGTATTGAATTGTTTTGTCCTATGAATATAAGAAATAAGGATAATTTCGAAATTTCTTTACATGAATTTTTCTACCTAATACTTCTGTTCATGGTGCAGATAAATCTAAAATATTTTTAAGGTGTATTTTAATTTTTAAAACTGGGTCAACACCGCTGCTTGTAGACTGCTAATCCCTGAGGCCATTGTCAGGTCAGTAGGCAGCCCTTTGGTACTGATATGATTTATCAAAATACCATTATTAAATTTCTCCGTTGATAAATTTGTGATTATTAAGAAACTAAGGGTTCCTATTAGTATACAGAATCACAGACAAGTATTATTTCATATTTTTTTTAATAACAATACTTAGTTTTTTTATATATGAATTATATTATGTATCTGAGCAGAAAACAAAAAAAAATGTTTATGTCTATAGATTTTTGTATATAAATATAATAAGCAAGTAGGCACCAATATTAATGGATGTACGATAGCAAGTCCAATGTTACAAAAGAAAGGCAACAGTAGTATATCGGTATTCAAAAGTCATAAATCGATTGAGAGAAAACAAATCCGGGTTACAAACTAAAACCGAGGGAAACACATCAACTATAAGAGGAAAACAAAGTAACAACAGGAACACTGAAGTGCAACAAAAACAAACGCCAACATACATAGAAACGAACTATTTGATAACAACTGCCATATTCATGACTTGGTACAGGACATTTTAAGAAAAAATGGTGGGTTGAACCTGGTTTTATGGCTTGCCAAACCTCCCGCTTGTATAGCAATGTTAAAAATACCGCTAAAATGACAACATTACGTGACAGGAATAAAGTACAAATAAATGCAAGAACAACCAGGACAGAGAAATACATAAATAAATAGGAGGGGCGGCAAAAAGGAAGGAGGGTTTTACTATAGAACCCTATGGGATTTTATTATTTTTAATTTTCAAATCAGAAGAAAAATAAAGGCAATAGTAGTATACCAACAATAAGCATTGGCTTATTTTTAAGTTGTGTTATTATCTAAACAAATATGTATATACCAATTAATCTAATCAGCTGATTATTCCCTGGGTAGTCAGTGGAGTGTAACAGGGTACGTCAAGACAATCTTGGAATCTTGATGGTTTTTGTAACAAGCAATATTTGAGGAATAAAATTATAATGTTGTTTAAAAAAGAAAAAAAAATTTAAGGTTCCAACTTCCATGCAATACTGATCTTAGATGGATTAGGCTATTATTTTTAGGTCCCTTTAGGTCAAATACTGCTTCGGGTGTTTAAGTACTTTAACATCCCAGGCTATCAAATTCTTGGGTTTGAGCGATCCTCATGAAAATGAAGAATACCATTTAGGACTAAGTATATTCTGACCAAAAAAAAAGTCGGAACATTCAAGCTGAAATACGACTAAAAGACAAACAACAGTATACAAAAAAAAACATAGAAAACTAAAGACACGCAGCCTACCAAAATGCGGGGGGTGATCTCATGTGCTCCAGAAGATTAGGCAGATCCGGCTCCACATGGGGCACCCGTCGTATTTGCTCATGTAAGTACAAACCCGGTGATAAGTCTTTTTCGGTATGCATATTCGATGAAAAGAGGACGGGATTGTGATTACAATTGAAACATATCCGTCGTCATCTATGAAAAAGATACTCTGTAACGATCAATCAACTCGTGATGGCGTCCGTAAAATTTTCAAAGAAATGATTTCAACTTCACAACTTTGAACTCTTGGTTTAAAAGCGTCCTTCTAATCAGTAACACTCTATCAAGGAAGTAATGATAGAAAATACAAGCTCTGAAATATTGTATCAACTGGGAGATATATACCTCATATGCAGGCGCTGTTGGAATTGTGCTACTTGGAAATGGAAAGTTCACAATAGGGAAGTTGAAATCATCTGTTTTGTCGTATAAAGTTTTGTTCCCAACCGACCCTCATTGTCAATTTATAGATTTCAAGATATGATACTTAACTGTATCTGTAGTATATTTCATTTCAAGTTTGATGGGACAGATGTGATTTATTTAGTGAGAGGACACCATCTTCATAGCTGAACGTGAAGTTAAATGATAATGCTAGTAAATACAAGTACTTCTAATACAAATGAGAAAAAATATGTTTTCTCAAAATATACTTGTAAGAAAAGTTGTAAATAAATATGAGGACTAATGATGCACTACACCACATTTAAGTGATGCACGTTTCGAAAATAACACTCTTGCCGGATCTCCTCGAAACCTTACATTGGATATACATATAAACAGAAAATATAAGCAAACCGACTGCGATCACTAATAATAACACAAAAAGGACGCGCAACCTGTTAATTTAATTGAGTAATAATAGGATTGTTGTCAAGTAATTACAATGCAATCTTAATCAAATATAAAACTGGAATTGTGAGTGAACTTAAAAAGTATACCCGTGAACTTCAAGTGACTATACCGAAAAGTAATTCGATTATTTTCCCTTTATAAAAGTGGAGAAAGATACCGAAGGGATATTTAAACTTCGAAAACAAACCAATAATGCCATGGCAAAAATGAAAAACGATCAAAAGACAAACAGTATACATGTAGGACCGGAATCTTTTGCATCCTCATGTATTTTTGTTTCTACTGTGTAAAGCGTCATAAAACATCTGTCTAGCCTTTTATAAGGAGTTGCGCTTACACAAGACTATTACCAACTATTAATATTAGAGTAATTGAATTCATGCATCTCCTCTTTAACATAAAAGAATGGGATTTTATTACTTTACACCTTGTATTTATATCCATGTAAATAGGGTTGTTAAACAGTGTAAAGTTTCACCGTCTAGTCGTTTAGGGGGTGCTGTACTTTCATGTTACATGGACAGACAGGCGGACGCATCGACAGACGAACTGAAAGACAAAGTGATTCTTATGTGTCACCCCCTACAAAACCGCTTTTGATAAGGTATATAGATGCAGATACATATATCATTAAAAATAGAATAAAATAGTTTTACAATCATTGTTGATAATGTAAAATGAACCCATAATTTCATAATATAATTAATGACGGTTTATAATTTTACACAGGATAAGTTAATTTGAACAATGCATTAACTGTTCATTGAAATCGAAATGAGGTAGAACATCCATTTGGTTTTTATGGTCAACACAGTCAACGAATTTCAGATATAATAGAAAACAAGGCTATCTTGCCACCAATTTTACAACGGTTTAAACTAGCAACATGCAACCAGTCCAATTTACTGCCTATTAACATAATAATGATGAACACCACCACATCTTTCTCCGGCGTATACAACATCTTCACTAAAAGGGTAGCGTATGTCTGATGTAAACAGAATCTAAAATTAACGTTGAATACAATATGATAATGTTCATAATAACATATATGAATAAATGTCAAACAACATTAGTTGTCCCCGATCTCACTCTCATTCCGCATTAACGTCATGCGGTTCTGACTGATTTTTCCCATGTTCGTCGGCGTTGTTTTTTTTTGAGGAATCGTTTGTTTGTGTTTGGTGTGGTTTGTTGTATTGTCTATTATTTTTTGAGATTCGTGTTATCCTTTTGTGTGTTATATTCTATAAGGTCATCATACTTGTGCTGATTTGGGTATACTTGTTTTAAATACAAACCAGGGTAATTAATTTGTACTTAAATATTCCGGGGAAAAGATAAAAATGTCAATTGTTGAAAGTAAAAGAGGGGCGGAAGATACCATCGGAATATTCAAACTCATAAGTCGAAAACAAACTAACACCGCCGTGGCAAAAAACGTAGAAATGACATAACAACAAACAACAGTCTACAAAACACAACATATAGAACTAAAACCTTAGCAATATGAACCCATACAAAAACGGGGGAGGTATCTCAGGTGCTCCGAAAAGTAAAGCAGATCCTGCTCCACATGTAGTTATATAAATATATTACTGCATCTTTTGAATGATCGTAATGTCCAATTATATTAAAATCAATAATTTATACACTGGGTAAAAAGTGAAAACACGAATAATATTTCGTTTGCTTTATTTTCAATATTTTAAAGGCGCTCGACTACTGACCTGTATAATCTTTAAGGCCAACATGACACTAGATTTCATGGTTACAATCACGAATTGGTTGACCGCTACCATGTGTCTGTGTCTCAACTCATTAATGACATGTTATTTTTCTGATTGCGTTCTTTTTCCGATTGTGACTTTTTGACTGAGTGTCGATTCGCATGTCGGGTAATCAAGTAGACACTTCCATGGTCGACGCACACCTTTTGAAGTAAATATTTGTTAACTTGATTTGCATCTTCCTACTTGATTTATTAGATTTTTACAATACTGGTATATTCATGGTAATTATTAATGTCTACTTACAAACATAGTAAAGTTATTATTTTAAATAAACAAAAATAAAACAATTTATTTGACTCATTTTCACTTTTATAGCACATAACTCCTGAAATCTAAAAATTATATCGCTGAACTGTATGCAAGATTTTACTTATTTCCTTGTACAAATTTTTGTATTCTAAGTAGATTGTTTTTGACTCATGCGGAACTTATGATTATTGCTGACTTAAAAATGTTCTACGGGAATATCTCCTTAAACATAATGCTGTGAAGGTGGTCTGTGTTTTAATGTGATTAATTTGTTAACGTCTTATGGCAAATATGTTATGCATATTCAGGAGAGAACAAGCAAACAATAAATCCGATATGTAAAGTTAGTCGACCGAAATATAATGGTTTAGAGATTTTAAATGCTTCTGGAAATGGAAAAGGTATGATGGTTAAGGTTTTACTGCCAGTTTGAGAATTCAAGGGACGACTATATTCAACACATCCAGGCACCCGTCACAACTTAAAGTTTTACAATGATGTTAATTTATATAAATGAAGAAATTATCTGACGTCTATCGATGATTTTGCTGATTTGTTTTCCTAATTGACCTGCCATTACGCCTTATTATAGTAAAAATCAATATGTATTTGTCCTTCATAAGTCCAGTCAATATGCTGGACAAATTTGATTTAATATTCGGAAATCAATGATTAGCAAGAAAAATGTCCGAAATGTTCGTTTTTGTTCCTCGTTACCATCGCTGAACATGAACTGTATACAATGAAAGCACTTTTTGGCGATTTATGCAATAAATATGTTAGAAAATCATACCTGATCTTGCTTGGTCTTCAGTATTCTAGATTTATATCCATTATTTACACCAATGTAGTCAAATTGCTTTGTTAGAAAATCAGCCTAAAAGAATAATAAAAATCTATTTTTCTTATACTAGGTGTCTTTCAAATATCAACGTGGTAATTTGAAAAGATTAAAATGATGACATGTCGAAAATTGTACAAGACTAAGAAAATATGTTAAACCTAACGAAAAATTTCAATCAATTTAAATAAGAATTTATATTGCTTTTTGGGGGCCTCGGTGGCCGAGGTGTCTAAGTAGTTACTACTGTAATCACTAGCCAGTCAACACTGAGGTTGTGAGTTCGTACCCCGCTCGTGCGGGTGCACTCGACTCCAATCTTAATTGACTAGGATTGTCAGTTTTCCTATCGAAGGTCGGTGGTTTTCTCCGGGTGCTCCGGCTTCCTCCACCAATAAAAACTGGCCGCCACGAAATAGCCCAAAAGCGGTGCTTAAAAGTGGCGTTAAAACACAAAAAATCAAATCAAATCAAATATTGCTTTTTGCACGTCATATTAAATGAAATACTTATAAATCACTTTTAGCAGTCTATATGGAGAATGCAAGTGCTTACTGTTTTCTGTGGACAAGGTTTTGTCAAGCCACAATGCACCCTTGTTGCATCCCCTTTTGGAAAGTTTTTCCCTCCATAGTAAACATACACCAGTCCATCTACTATATAAAAAGGAAGGCAAAACCGATAATGTAGAGAACACAATTTTTTTTTTTTTTTTGTCAATTGGTCTACATGAATAAACTATATGGTAAAGTAGAAGAACGTTTTATGAGTGCACAAATCCTGAACATAGAGTTCGTGTAACATTATATTCGAAAGTGAAAAAGATTGTTTTCTAAACTTCAAAACAAAACTAACGGTACCAATTCCCCTGCACCAGATGCGCATTTCGATTCTCCAGTGATGCTCGAGGCAAACATTTTGAAACAGCAAATTTTAATAACACAAAATCCGTATTTTCATGCCAGTACATAAGTACTGGTTACATGGCTGGTGATACCCTCAGGGCCTAACAAGCAGAGGTATCGAACCATTAGTAGTATTAACATTAACGGCACCAATTCTCCTGCACCAGATGCGCATTTCGACAGTAAATGTCTCTCCAGTGATGCTCGAGGTCAAATATTTGAAAATTCAAAGCTTTTAAAAAATGAAGAGCTTATAAACCAAAAAGAACAAAAAGTGTAGCCAAATTCGGACAAGGAATCGGAGCTTTGCACGAGGGAGATCAATTCCTTAATTAAAGATAATTTCCAAAATTTTGTAACATCAAATTTTAATAACACAAAATCCGTATTTTCATGCCAATACCGAAGTACTGGCTACTGGGCCGGTGATACCTTTGGGGACTAACAGCTACCAGCAGAGGTATCGACGCATTGGTAGTATTAACATTAACAGTACAAATTATCCTGCACCAGATGCGCATTTCGACAATAAATGTCTCTCCAGTGATGTTCGAGTCGAAAATAATCGAAATCCAAAGCTTATTAAAAATAAAGAGCGAAATAAACCAAAAAGGACAAATAAGTGTAGCCAAAGTAGGACTAGGAATCAGAGCTTTGCATGAGGGAGATGTCTTCTTTAATTAAAAATAATTTCCAAAATTTTGTAACAGCAAATTTTAATAACACAAAATTCGTATGTCCATTCTAGTACCGAAGTACGGGCTACTGGTCTGGTAATACCCTCGGGGACTAACAGTCCACCAACAGATGTATCGACCCAGTGGTAGTAATATCATTAACGGTACTAATTCTCCTGCACCAGATAAAAGTTGTTATTCAGAGAGGTATTCATGAAGATCTACAATTGGGGCATTCTTCTAGTTCGATAAAGTTCACGGGAAGAATTGGTTTAATAGTGCATTTAATGATTATTAGTAATTGCCCAACAGTCCGAATCCATCTAAAAGTATAAGGTTTAATCCGTATGTTTTTCTAGACGATATTGTTTTAAGAACAAAAGACCACGTTCTGTAATATTAGACACGAACTCATTTTTGTATACCTTTAAGTTATCCATTAACCTCAAGAGTTTTATACATTATCTTTTTCATAAGCAAGTCGCTCATTTTCATGGGCACAACTACGTTATATTGTTCCACCATACTTTGCCCCAAAAACAGACTCTATTCTTTATTAAACATAGACTTATCAGAACATAATTGACTGCAAGCGAATTGTCTGAACAGTACTGATATAACCGCAGTGGATACGTCTGAAAATTAACTGAAAACGACTAAATCATTGAGTTTAACGTTTAAGAGCTGTTCAGATAAAAAAAACTGTTTTAGTGTATCAATGACATCTGTATCAATAAACTCATCATAGCAACCAGGATAGTGATATTTATAACTTTAAATAGGTTTGTTCTAAACAATTAGTTTTTCATTTGTTAAATTTACCATCATTGATAATTTCCGCTTTGTTGCTGTTCCGGGACGGTTCTCCTATCAACAAATCATCAGTACCGTCTCCATTCACATCTTCAATCTGCAAAACATTTCGTTTCAAAGATATTTTATATAGACGGTCGTTTGGTTTTGTCAGGTTTAATGGACTTCTCCTTTTTTCATTTACCTTGGCTAGTTTTAAAACAATTTCTTTAAAAACTTCATTTGATGACAAAAATGTGCAAATAGCTTTGGATATGCATTGAAAATGAAGTAATTAGAAACTATTTTCAACTTAGTTTAGTCATCATGACATAAAAAGAAAAACTTTTGCGAAAACGATGAGAAGAGTTGAAATGCGTTGAGTGTTTCTGGGCAGAATCATCAAAAGATATTGTAAAGAAAATTGGTTATCTCCTATTATAGCACATTTTTACTGAGTATGAAGTTGTTTCTTTCTACGTGTGTTCATACTATTTCTGTTTAAAGATTATGTGAGTATTGATTGAAAAAATAGTGAAAAGTGCAAAATGACTACTGTTGGTTGCCATAGGAACTCGTATATATAATGTACAAAATTTCTCGATTTTGTGAATACAATTTATCTTAAGATTGTGTTAACAGGTTAAGTATCTTATATTTGACTTCTAATTGGGGCGTTTAATGGTAAGTGGGCATTCGGGTAATTTGAAACGTTATTATATTTCAAGTATGTGAGAACAGTTGAAAGCAGAGAAAATTCAAAGAATAGCTCTTTCCGTGAGGAATATGGACAGCTCAATATTTAATTGAAATGTAACAAAGGTAAAAAAAAATCACTTCTTCATACATTATCAAAAATGGTAACAAACTAGAACAGTAATGTCATGCATGTGAACAAAAAAATGTTTAATTTGTATTTGTAACAGCTGTTTTGATAAAACAAAAATACATATGATATTAGAATATGTACTATTTGACAAATAAAACAGCTTATATTACTACTGTTTAAAAAATATTAACTCAGAAATAGTTACTATTCATAATTCAATCAATCATACAAATGTACAATATTTTGGTCCAAAAAGGGCCCGAACACACTTCTCCTTAACTGTCTATGAAATTTTAAACTCATTCGAAACGCTTATGTTTACCAACCCCCAGGGAGAGATGACCTTAATCAGATTTGGCACAACTTTTTAATCTGATTTGAATGTACTTCAATTTAATAATTGATTTGTTCTTTTACCTGTCTTGATACACTATAGATCTGTCTTTTGTTGACGAAACGCGCGTCTTGTGTACTCTTTTCATCTTTAATGAAACCTAGCCCTGTTATTGCCCCCTTAATTAATAACGGAAGTATGAAAATCAAAACAATTATAATTACAAGACTTTGGACCAAACTGGACCAAAAAGAGAACCTGTCACTGTCCAAGTTAATGTTCTGTAAAATATTGTTTGAAGTTAACTCATTGGCATGTTGGGTCATCGCCTTGTTTGTTTTCCGATACTTATGGACTTTTCTTGTGTGGGAACGGTCATTCTCAGTTCGTTCAGTCTCTTTTTTTTATTAATACATCTATATATGCAAATGTATTCAATTTTAATGATTTTAAGTTTAAAGAAACTATATGCACAGGATTTTTTGGTTTATACACAGTTTTGATTTAGAATATAAACCGACATGGTTTGAAAATACAAATCATAATACCATTACAAACACAATTCCATTTTAATATTATTGTCATAGTTAGAAAATACATAAAATAACATCATTACAAACTCAATCCCAATTTTATATTCTTGTACGTGTCCATAATAAAATAAGTCTATTCTATTTTTAGAAATTTACCTGTGATAATACAAACGTCACAAAAAATACGTCATTTTTTGTGGCGTTGATACATTTATGTGACGCGAAGTTTACTCTTCGTTTGTGGTGTCCTGGTGTACTGTCGTAAATTCATGGGAGGTGTCCGTTGTTATTCTGTGGTTTACACGTTGTAGTGTACTATTATATTATTTATCTATGTATTTCTCTGTCCTGAGTGTTCTTGCGTTTATTTGTACTGTATTCCTGTCACGTAATGTTGTCATTTTAGCAGTAATGTTAACAATGCCATATAAGCGGGAGGTTTGGCTAGCCATAAAACCAGGTTCAATCCACCATTTTTTCTTAAAATGTCCTGTACCAAGTCAAGAATATGGCAGTTGTTATCAAATAGTCCGTTTCTATGTATGTTGGCGTTTGTTTTTTGTTGCAGTTCAGTGTTTCTATTGTTCCGTTGTTTTCCTCTTATAGTTGATGTGTTTCACTCGGTTTTAGTTTGTAACCCGGATTTGTTTTCGCTTAATCGATTTATGACTATTGAACAGCGGTATACTACTGTTGCCTTTATTAAATCGTTTTGGAATCACCATGACCTAAATCTACAAAACATAAGACTACCATTATTAACTTAAAAAGTGTTGAATAATAATAATTTGTACCATAACAAGTGTACCGAATCCACCATATCTACTGTTACCCTCAAATCTAGCAACTTCAACAGGTGTCGTGCCTGTCATATTATAAAGTATAACAACACCAGCACGTGTTAAATTGACAGGCAGTGTTAGATATGATCCCTCAACAGTCATTCCAGGAAATGCTACTGCTAAAATCATTGTCGCTGTGTCATATAAATATCCAAAGTCTAAGCTGTAGCCAGCAGATTCATGGGCTTTTGTTCCTAGTATTGTCAGATTTTTAATTGTGGATATATTTCCATAATTAAAAATATCTGCACGACCTATTTCCTGGACGTCGTGTGGATCAAACTTACACACAGGACTGTAAATATACAAAACTGTAGTTGAAAGTTATGCTATGTATTTGTGGTGGTCCCATACAAACATATTATAATAATTATATCTCTTGTTACTTTTAACCACAAGGAAGCCATTTCCCACGTAATTCTTACTTTACGACACACGTATTATGGTAGGTACACTAGATAAATTTAATATTAGATCTATTTCTTAAATATCTTGTTTCAATTGTACGAGATAATGTTATTTTGTTAATTTTGTTAATTAATGGTGTTAAATGGTTTTTCTGTCCCAATGATTGATATGATTCTCAACAGGGTTCGTTTTGTTTTATTTTGATCTAGATGGTCAATTATTGTCAGAGGTTATTGTTTATCTATTTTTCTGGTCCTAAAATCTATGAATCTCGTTTTATTCATTATCTCTTGAAAGTTTAGCTTGACTCGATATACCAACTATTGTCAGGTCTTGTCTAGTAGACCAATATTCTACACTGTTATTTTTAATGATTACGATCAGTATTACAACTACTGGTCGAGGATTGTAGGTTTTTTTGCAATAATCGTAGAGAAAAGAACTGCATTGGTAAAATATAAATAAAATCATGCAAATTTATTTAATTTTAGATATTTCAGTTTGTTCATTTTTTAAATATCACTTCATAAGTTACATCTGAACCATACGAACTTACTCGATGCATTTCCGTACGTTTGGTGAACTTATTTTCAGTGTTTGTTTCTTGGAAACAACATTAAAACCAAACCAAGCGTATGGTTGCTGAAAATAAAATCTTTTTGGAGTAATAGATAGGAGGTATTTGTTTGATTAGCAGACGTCCATGTAGTTTAAGCAAAAAAAAAGTCGATATATATAACATGAGCTGTCTGTATTACATAAGTATAAATTAATTGAGTGTTCAGTTGAAAACGATCCACAATCACACAACCAGGAAAGCATTTAATATTCGGGAATGTAGAAAAGTATAATTCAAATCATTTACACGGAAGAAAACACTTTACATGTCATTGTGAGTCTTTAATGTATATAAACAGAACAGAAAAACAAAGAATTAATCAAAAGCAAGGAGAGAAAAAATAAACGTTATACAACGTTAAGCAACAATGGTTCACAATGTTGTTATGGTTTTATGTTTTACTAAATAAAGGCAACAGTAGTATACCGCTGTTCGAAATTCATAAATCGATAGAGATAAAAACAAATTCGGGTTACAAACTAAAAATGAGGGAAACGCATCAAATATAAGAGGAGAACAACGACACAACAAAAACACAACATTAAAATGTAACACACACAGAAACGAACTATAATATAACAATGGCCATTTTCCTGACTTGGTACAGGACATTTTAAGAAAAAAATAGTGGGTTGAACCTAGTTTTGTGGCATGCCAAACCTCCCGCTTTTATGGCAACGTCAAACACAACACCAAAACGACAACATCACATGACAGGACCACAATACAAATAAATGGGAGAACATATAGGACAAAGAAACACACGAATAATAGCTAGCAGAAGGTACTAGGCTTAAAATTCAATACGCCAGACGTGCGTCTCGTCCACACAAGACCAACCAGTGACGCTCAGATAAAAAAAGTTTGAAAGCCAAAACAAGTACAAAGCTGAAGAGCACCGAGGACCAAAACTTCCAAAAAGTTGCGTCTAACACGGACAGGATTTTCTGCCTGGGACAAGAACATCCTTATTATTTAGAATAATTTATAATTTTGCAAACAGTAAATTTTATAAAATGACTATATAATAGATATACATGATAAAACCAAAGTGGGGACTAACTACAGAATAAAAACGGATACATTACATAAAACAACTGAATCCAACATATAAAAATACACAGCCGAGTTAGCTAAAGCCTCAACGCACAAAGTGACGTCACATTTGAAATTCTAAAAAAACACACAAAGTGACGTCACATATGAATTTGTAAAAATATTTCCCAAAAATAAGATAGGATTAGGATTGATTCAAGATTAGATTTGTAATACTGCCATTACATTTATTAATAACAATGAAAATTACAATACTTATTAATATCAAATTGTGGTAGTAATTAGATAATTAATTGTATTATCTAGCTATGTCGGTGTTTCTTCTAAACATGTCTATTTGGATTATGAAATATATGTTATTCCTAATTTGCTAAAAGAAAACCGTATACTGACCTCTTTATCTAGAATCTGCCTCCATTTTATATCTTCAAATGCAACGGTCTTGTGTACTATAAATTAACAAAATAATTGAATTAATGTAAATCGCTATTTTTACTGCATATTAATACCGCATTTTACCCAATTGGTATCTTCCGCTCATTATATAAAACAATTTATGAAAGAGATATCTAGAATTTGCCTTTTACCATTCGAATGAAGACAAAACAACACTTAATTTTAAGCCTTTACTTTTGATAACTCCAAAGGTTTGTAATCACAAAATAATAATAATAAAATGGTTCCCGCAATTAAGCTATTAAAGACGTTTAGAAAAAATAAGAGATGTTCCTTCATTTTTTACAAGACATTGATTTCAACTCATAATATTTAGATATAATTTGTTTTTCAAAATGTGAAAAGAAGCATATTTAAATATATCTATCACGTTATTATGTTCATCGTTTGTTACCTGGAACATCTTTGCTGGCCATCATTGCAGCCACAAGTCCACTCTGATTATATTTATCTGTATAAAATGGTAGACCAAAAATGAGATCATCATGTCCGTCGCCATCAATGTCACCAGATTCAAGGTTGTATCCAAGGTTACAATACTGACTCTATAAAGAATAAATAAACGCAGTATATAACAAATGTATTTGAATAAACATCACTTAAGCAACGCAAGATAACCACAAATTAAAATGTGTTAGTTTACGATGTAAATCGATTTGATGAAGGCAACCAACTATTTGACAAATGACAGTTTCAGACAAACAAAGAGAGAAATTAAAAGCCAACAAAAAATTAGAATATTGTGTTTTTCTGATTATCGTTGTAAAGCGGCCAGAAATCTTCAAAAGGATAGACAATAACAATACTTTAATTTGCACTTCATATACATTGAAGTGAACTTTTAGTGAGCAAGCTCACATATCATTATACTAGTAGATACTCTAACAAGTTCTACTCCCAAAAAAAAAAATGTTCCCCATTTCAGATTGTTTTGGTCATGAAAGTTATCTTCTAAGGCTTTGATTGGTCAAAACCTTCATACAAATGCGATGAAGATCTGATAAACAATTAATAAAGGTGCCATCCCAGCTATAAGAATTTATAAGAGAAATATTTACAGGTACCCTTCTAATTAAAAAGGTCTGCAATTTCAGATTAGTTTTCTGACTTTCAAATTTATTTTTGGATGAGTTGAAACCTTTATCCAACTTTTGATTAACTCAGGCTACTCAAACATCTACTCAAAGCCCGTCACGACAAGGACTTTACAATGTACATTTTTCTTTAAAAAGCCAAAGAAATTTGCATTTCAATCTCTAAGCAAATAAATGAAAATTTTGAATATATATCCTTATTCTTTATATGCATATGATGAGCACTTACCTGACATGTTATTACAATGTCAACTTCTTCATACATTCTGGTCTTTTTTCCGAGATAAATTGAAATTAATCCCTGCAAAGAATCATTACATGAACATGTCAAATACGAAGGTAGTGTTTAGGGATAATCTTATTTTGGAATGAGTATTGGTAGAACCGGGTAAAACATAAGTATGGAGTTAAACAATTAAAATGTGTTGTAATGACATGTCCATAGTTTCAACCTGTACTTGTCTTTGACATCTATTTAATAGTTTTTTTTTCTTCAATGGGAAACAAAATAAGTCGATTAAACTATCATCGGCAATTTTAAATTCATAAAAATGACACTAAAAGTACTAAAGGAATTTTATCAAAGGGACAAATCTTAATCTATAAGTCAACATGGTCAAATGACGTACATGTTAGTAAAATCAATAAGAAAGGAATGACGAATGAATTCAAACATCATCATTATCATACTTTATTTCCTCCTATAGGAGATTGACAAAAGACCAAATGCATATATTATGTACAATTATGAAGTTTTGAAATCATAAAATTAGAAATGTCACTTAATTTTTTGGTAAAGTATTTACAGTCTACAGTATTTTAGAAAATCCTTCGTAAATAATGCTCTGGTTTTAAAATGTACAAGACATCTCCCTTATTGCCAAGCAGAAAACCTGTTATGCTCTCGTCTGATTTTGAAACGAGTGTGCATACGAAATTGTCACTAGTGAATTCTGTTAACTATTATATAGGAAGAGTCTCTCTTTGAAGTTCTGTGCACAGATTTTTTTTATGTTTCAGGGTATCTTGAACAAAGTGTCCACACAATTTGCAGTTTCCGCTTTCTGGAGAGTAGTCCAAAGTTTAGCTATATGTTTCGTGGTTAAAAGTCTGCCAGTAATGTTTGCATATTGCCACAGGAAGTCATAGCCATTGTTCTCAGAAAATCGTAGAAATCTGATAAAATTGTTGTCTCTACGCATTCGCTCTTCCTTTTGAAGTCTCTCATTCAGGTTAATAGTACTATTGGCAATGTTTTTCCACTGAAATTTTGTTGAGAATGTGCCCGTAAACAAATAGATAGTCAAAAAAATCAAAAGTGAATATTTTGATAAAATGTTAATTACATCTGGGATGAATCCATATTGTTTTCTACAGGTGTCTCCAAAAAACTGGTAAAGTCTATAAATGAAAATTTGTTTGGTACGTGATTCGGCCTTCATTTTGCAAAATTTATAAAGGAACATCAGTTTCCGTTTTCCCACTGGTATCGGTTGTCTCTTAAGGTTGGTCTTTGAATCACATATATCTGACCGTGTTCGTTTAGGGAAGCCTTGAATATGTTTAACAATGAAATGCTGGAAGGTTTCAAGAGAACCTGTAGGTTTTAACCCATTCCAAAGTTCACATCCGTAAAGTACCGCAGGCATAACGATTTTATTGTAGAGGCTACACACAGTTAACAGATTTGACAAACAAGATCCAGTACCAGCTACAGCAAAATAAGCATTCGACCCTTCCTTCATGAATGCTGAATATCTGTGCTCGGCGATAAGTCAACCGTTCTAAATGTCCCAAGGTGCTTGGTCTCAGTTGAAACGTTAACATTAGTATCAACTAGATTGAATACATGGTCTAATTCATTTATGTAGCATAAGATGACAGATTTAGAGTAGTAAACTCAAATCTCCATTTAAGTGAGTAATCGTTAGCACAATTAACAGAATTTGGAGTCTTTGTGGTGAAGTACCAATACACACTACATCGTCAGCAAATGATGGATTACTTGTATAAATATTTGAAATATTTCGGGTTTCAACTAATTCTAGTTCATTTAATAGATCAATAATGTAAACCAAGTAAAGAAGGGTCGATAGTAGACCACCTTGTATGACGCCTTGTTGGACTTTGAAAGGTACTGATACGTGTTCACTAACGTAAGCGGCACTCGTTATATCGCTATAACAATCAGAAATCACTTGTAATGCTTTACTATTTATCCCGAGTCGGTACAGTTTGTAAATTAGGCCACAATACCACACCGTATTAAACGCACGGGAAATGTCCAAAAATGCAACGTGCAATGTGCAGCCTAATTCTAAAAGGTAATATATAGTTTCTTGGAAGCTGAAGGAGGCAGTGATACAGCTAAGTCCATTTAGAAAACCTTGTTGTTTTGAATTTGGGAACAAATCATTTTCCAAAGAGGTTAATAATCGCTTCTTTAATGCAGTTTCGGACAACTTATAAAGTATTGGCAATAGCGATTAGGGAGATATTTTCCGGGCGCTTGTTTGCACTTTCCATTACCTTTATACAATGGAATCAATATGCCATGCATCCAACACAAAGGAATACGACCGAATCGAATCACTACATTAAATATACGGAGAATAACAACATGTATAAAAATAAAAAAATTAGAAGATGTGGTATATGTATAGTTTTACTTCCACTGTATCTCACATGTTCGTTTGCAGCTTGTCATTTCCAGGTGCCTGTCGTATCTTGAGGTTTATAATCACTGTTTCGATTTCATACATGTTTATTTCCCATCCTTGGAGGAGGCCATTATTTGTTGCACATGGCTCGAGTGTGCGATCTACGAATTCAGTCACATAGGCCTTGCAATCACTGTCAAATTTAGCGTTTTGGTTGGTGTAAACGTATGCATAAAAGTCAACAAAAGCATTGGAAATATCTTCAGGATATTTACACTGTCCGTTGTGATGTAGTATTTCCGAAATTTGATTGGTTTTACGGCTTTTCTGACGAAATATATTAAGCGCCAAAAGAGTCTAACATTACACTCGGCTGCTTCTTCGATTTCACGGTAAGTATTGTCCATGTACGCGTTATATGCAAAGTACTGAAAGTACTGAAGGAATTTTATTAATGGGACAAACCTTAATCTATAAGTAAACATGGTCAAATGAAGTACATGTTATTAAAATCAACAAGAAAGGAATGACGAATGAATTCAAACTTAAATCTATAAAAACATGCTTCATGCAAATACCTTATACTCCAATGGGCTATCGATCCAATATGCAGGTGATCCTACAGCTATATCTAATATGCCATCAAGGTTTATATCCAAAACAGCCAGGCCTGATCCAAATCTGGATTGTTTCTTGAACAATTGATAAATTGAATAATTGATTAATTTATTGGTTGACTGATTGAATGTATAATTGATTAATTTGTTGATTAATTGGTTGATTTGATGATTGTTTAACATCGCTTGAGTTCATAATAAGCTATATTGGGTTGATAACAGACCTCATAACTCGAAAAATAATATATTTGTCAAATAAAACACTTGTAAAGTGATTTTCTTATTGAGATGAACAATTTTATTTCATCTTCAGATGAATTATTATAAACATAATTGCTACTACTAAATGCCGATGTTGTTAATATATTAAGTAGAATTGTTAAACTTTCCAAAATATCATTTGTTGTCAATATCATTTGTTGTCAATATCAAATTATAAAAAAACCAATCTTATGTATAACTGAATAGAAATCATTTGTAGAAATACACAACTGGTAAATCAAATTTAAGGTGGTACCTAACACTACAGGGAGATAACTCTGTAAAAATCAGCTAAACGTTTTAATTACGTTGTATTGTTAAGGAAATATTAAGCTTCTCAATGATCAAAATTAGTGTTTGTCAAACTGCTATATAACCAACGAAATTTTTCTGATAAAGTGGTTGGTTCAAATTTTTTGAAATTTTTATATTTTTGTCAAAGGGTCAAAGTAGACATTTTGTCAAAATTTTATGAAAATTAAACGAGCCAAATTAATATTAGTCAAGGTGTTGGGTACCACCTTAAAATTAGTCCCGGATATTTATTATTTGCTCAAGATTTTCTATTTTCTTATATCTTTCTCATTGTCAATTAATGACATGAATAGATTACTATTGTATCATATAATTTTTGCATTATATAACAGAAAAAAAACATAATTGTATTCTGCAATTTTTATGCAAAACTATACTTAAAATAAAAGATTGGCTTTAGAAAATAAGAACAATTTGGTACTGGTTAAAAAATAGAAAATCACTACAATTTTGAAATAAACAAGAATATGATACGGAGTATATTTTTAGTTTGCTTTATTTTTGGTTTATTAATTATACTTACGTTGTGATATCCATGTATCGTTGTAATGTGATCATGAATGGGATTAAATCGAGAATTAACATCCAGGTTTATTCCATAATAATCAAATCCACCAGAATCAGAATCTAAAATGTGAATAGCGATAGAACACTCATTTCTTTGATATTAGTTATCCAATACGCATGAGCCATATACGGGTTTTTTTTTGTAACAAGTACACACGCAAGTTTTTTTTTATAAAATGACATTGAATTTAAGTTATCTAGATACGTTTAAATAAAAAAAATTATAAAATAATGATTTAAAAATGTAAGAATGCATAAATTATGAAAACAATATGATACAAGCATTAATTATTCACATATGATATGAAATCATTGAACATTCAATACCGGATGCTGAATCATTTCACATCAAATCAATTTTACAAATTAGGAACAAGTATGATAAGTACAATACAAATGTATCTTGTAAAAAAAAATACATAATAACATTTTTCGGTTCCTTAAAAACAACCCATTTAGAATCAATTAAAATTACTTGTTTTTGCATTTTCAGTTGACGAGAGGCAACGAATAATTGATGAAAAATCTAGCCATGTAAATAATTTAATCGCATAAAAATAAACTAATTTCCTTTTGTTACCATTTCCATAGATGATGTAAACTCTGCCTTCCTGCACACTCCCCTGTACACTATATCCTGGAGCACCAATGATTAAATCTTCAAAACCATCTCCATCCATGTCTCCCGTCTCTAGAGACCTAATAAAAATAAAAGTTCGTAAACGGTTCCGTAAAGCTTTGTCTCTCTCCTGCGATTCCTGTGGTCAGTGAAAATGTGTAATGTTGACGACCAACAACTAAGTCCATTTATCAGTAAAATACGCAACTTTGTTTTATACAAAATCGATTTTTTTCTTCTTCAAACTGTATCTAAATGTTGACTGCAAACAATACTAAGTCCCTTTATCAGTAAAAAATGGGAAAACCCACCAAAAAAGGCTAGTACTAAAATAATGCTGTTCTGGATACTGTCTTTTGATCAAAATGAGCTTCCAAGGTTTGTAAAATTCCATGAAGGTTTGACAAAGTTATGGATGTTAAAATTAAATTTAACCACAAACTGTACCTAGATGACGATGCCGATAACGGAATACACTAATACAATAAAACAACAAACCAGAGAAAAACATGCGACACAACCACATATCATGAATTGCAGGCTCCTAACTTGACACAAGCACGTACAGAATGTGGCGGGATTAAACATGTTTGCTCTCAATCCCCAAACATTGTTTTATCATACAACACTGCAATAACTGCAAAAACTGCCTGATTTTTTAATCATAGCGAGAAATATGTGCTAGCTTTTTAAATTGATATTCATGATATACGAATTGAATTAAAATTGTATTACACTACCAAATGTGTAAACCGTTGTGTCCAAAAGATTTTTCTTAAACGGCAGTTCTGATCATTAAAGCCCCCTAAATTCGTATGTTGTAATGTCATAACTTATTAACGATTGGTTTATTTGTTGCCAAAGAACCGTTTTCAACGTCTACAAATATAAGTATGAATTAAAGGAGATGTTGGATTTACATTATTGTGATACCATCCCAGCGATACAAAGGAAAGGACATCTAGAGGTACAAACACGGACTTCAATCATAGACCTTTTCATGTTCAGCTGTAATTTATCGAATAGAGTACAAAGCAAATTAGAACATCGCAATTTTAAGACTATGGATATAAAACTTAGATTCAGGCGTTTTCCCTCAAGACGATCCCCAATTGAAGAAAAGGAAGACAAATCTTAAATTGGAAACAATGTCCAGATGAATTGAAAGTGAACTATTAAAACATACCATCCAAGTTTGGCATATGAACTGTTAACTGCATAAATACCAGTACGTGGATCATTGCTATCTTGGTTTTTCCTGGTCTCCTGTTTCTCTGATCGTCTGTGATTTAACTTTGAACGAATATCCTTCTACAAACAGACCTTTAAATATGCTATACTGCTATCAAATTTGAGATGGAACACATTGGGCTATTTATTGGAAAATGTATGTTGAAATGACTTTCAGTTGCCATATATAGATATAAGAAGATGTGGTATGAGTGCCAATGAGACAACTCTCCATCCAAGTCAAAATTTATATAAGTAAACCATTATAGGTCACAGTACGGTCTTCAACACGGAGCCTTGGCTCACACCGAACAGTAAGCTATAAAGGGTCCAAAACATTACTAGTGTAAAACCATTCAAACGGGAAAACCATCGGTCTAATCTATATAAAAAACGAGAAACGAGAAACACTTATGAACCAAATCAACAAACGACAACTACTGAACATCAGATTCCTGACTTAGGATAGGTACAAACAAATGCAGCGGGTTTAAACGTTTTAATGGTACCAAACCTTCACCCTTTTTCTAAAACAATAGTGTAACATCACAACATAGAAAGACACACTATAAAATATCAACTGAAATAGCTTAACTCAATCAAAGGACATATTAACACCATTGAACATACACTGAACAAATAAATTTGACCTATGATACAATGTAAATACAAAATAAATATGTATTTTTTAATAAAACCGGTTTATGTTTAACCATCTAAAATCTTATAAAATGATTATACTTGATTATAAAAATGGTAAAAGCGAACTTGCTGTTAACAACGTGCTGTCAGACGTAATTTTGTCTCTATATATTCTAATTAGTTGATTTCTTGTTGTTTGAATTCGGGAACATATCTCACCTTTAAACTATCTAAAGGTTTTATCATTATTCCTCTGTGTTGTTTTTGCACGTCCATATCATTTATTGTCAAACCGTGCATGTCTGGTTGTATAAAATAACCGTTCTTGTCTCTCCCATTTCTATTTGTTTCAAGCTCAGTTGATGTTGATGTATTACAATACACAAATAGTGGATTATGGTTCAAGTTACAGGTACTGAAATACACAAGGAAATTGCAAACCGTTTCTTTTATTACATGTTTTTTTTTTTAAACCGGGCTTGATGCAAAAGCATTTTGAATATAAATGTTGATAATTTTCAACTATCATCAGTAGAATTATGTTTTTGTTTTCTTGTCTTACATTTTTCATCAGAATATCTTACTTTATTGTTTCGTTTTTTTTTTATTATGTGCCTAGATATTCATGAGAGTTTTATCCGTCTCTCCAAGAGTTGTTCTAGATTTAAGTTCAAAGCACATTAATGAATACTATTCGAGAAAAAACTGAAATTCGAGATTAAGCTTGAAAAATAATCTCTATACATGCTGATTGCTCATATATGTAGGTAAAATAAACCGAAAAAAAAACTCTGTGAATGACCTAAATGTATTTATCATTTTTACAATTTCAATTAGTCAATGAACACAAACCAAAAAATAGTTGATACAGGAAAAAACTCATCAGTATCATTGGAATTTTAATTCATCTTAAAGTATCCCCAGAAGGAAGTATTGCTATATAAAAATGATGCGTTTGCGTTATTAGCAAATATACCTTGTGCCTTTTTCAAACAGTGTCACCCCATTTTGCCAGTTTCTGTTAGACCATCCAACCATATCATTTATTCCACCAAGAAAATAATCCTCCATGTTGTTTTCTAAGAATGGGCTCGTTTCTGCAACTACTTGATATAGCTGAAAAAATAAAAGAAAAAACAGAAATATTTTGTATCATAAACTGCTTGCTGCGTCTAAGGACATAGTTTCCCCTTAATCATAAGCACTATATTATATTGAAGTAGCATATTAAATTATTTTTTAGCCTAAAAAGCCTATAAAATGGACACGGATGAATTTCGAGATCTTTTAATACAAATAGTAACCCTTTGTTGTTTCATAATTTAAACTTTTTTTAATTTACTGTTAATTAATAATGAATTGATTTAACTCAGGTTTTCCCCCAAGATTACTACTTAGAATATTACTAAAAAGTTACAAACATTTTTTTATACAACAACGTGTATGTACATTGTATGCACCTTTAAAATGAACAAAAACAAAATTATCAATTTGCTTAGGTTCTTCTATCACCTATACAAGCTCGGATTCGGACTTCTTTTAAAAACAGTTTTACTTTGTGTATTGCTGTGTGTTTTTTAACGCCACATTGGTTAGATGTATGAGGGGAGGGTTGAAATCTCACAAAACGTGTTTAACCGCGCCGCATGTTTGCACCCTCTAGCCTTTGTGAGTCTTGTGGGTTTTTTTTAAATTTTGGTTGATTTGTATGCTTCATAGTTTATTGTAGCGTCTATTTAGCTGAACTAGTATACATTATTGTTTAGGGGCCAGCTGAGCCCGCCTCCGGGTGCCGGCTTTTCTCGCTGCGTTGAAGACCCATTGGTGGCCTTGGGCTATTTTCTGCTTTTTTGGTCGGGTTGTTATCTTTTCGACACGTTCCCCTTTTCCATTCCCTATTCTATTTACATGAAATAAACTTAATTATGAACACTTTTGTTGATATTTATTGTTGGTATTGCAGAAGGATATGCTTCTCCAAAGTTCACAAACATGTTAAACCTCTCCACAATCTTTATGGTTGATGTCTGTCTTATTTATTTTTCGTTCGTTCTTTTAGCATAAATCAAGCAGCAGAAGTTCTCTTTTGAATTGATTCACATTTTGTCATGAAAAAAGCATTTAATAGCTTACTATACAATATGTTTTTTGCTCATTGTAGAAGGCCTTACAGTTTCCTATGAGTGTTTACATTCTTGTCCTCTGGTCTCTGATGGATAGTTGTCTCATTGGCAATTATTTCATATCGCCTCATCTTTATATTGGTATGCAAAATGATACAAAACTACTGTTTTCCTGTGAGCAGTATTGTAAAACCATGTCGATTGTTAGTTCAGACACTGAAACATTAGATCGGCCTATCAATGCGGGAAGGTGGCCGTAAAACCTATGTAGTGTCTATTTTTGTCGTTCTTTCTGTTGGAGCAGTTTTGTTTTCAATGTCAATAATTTATTTTTAAAGAAGTATTGCTTACCTCCGGGAGTCCATATATTTCTGCAATGCTGAGAAATGAGAGGTATATAACTTACATTATACCAAACATATCTAGTACTAAGATGGCAAAAACAGTTATATACATAGTTCAATTGTTTATGTAACAATAAAGAAACCTTATGAAGGAGGAGGTAAAATAAGATCCTCTATTTGAAACCTCTAAATAGTATGTTGATTTAGTCAAATAAATTGAAACAACCTGGAACTTGAGAAATTTCAATTGTGATGTTACGGTATGCAATTTCAAAAGATGTTTATTTTTTTTTTTGGCAAATCTTTCTTTATTCCAATAATTTATAAAGCATTTTTTCTTTTCAAGTTCAATTTTTGTTAAAATTTTACCTAGCTAGAACAATCAGTGTTGAACAGGAGTCAATTGTATCTTTGTCTATCTTTACACTGCTATAATATTGTTGATATATGTTGAATAAGTCATCAGTTGGAACGTACCTATATAATGAAAAGGTTTTCATAATTATTTTCAACTTTAAATTATATCTTTTACTTTCATCGTCATGTAACCATTTCATAAGGAAAACATTGGAGTAATTGTCTGCAAACTGTTTCATCCTTATCATAGAATAATGCTAAAACTTTGTCCAAACGTTTGAATATATATACACCGCGCACACATATGTTTAACCCCGCCACTTTCTTTATGTGCTTGTCTCTGTTATTCAATGGTTGTCGTTGTTTGCTGTATGCAATATTTGTTTTTCGTTGATTGATTTTAGCATAAATCGAATCGTTAATTTTGTAATTTGGATTGTTCACATTTTGTCTTGTCGGGGCCTTTATATTTTACTATACGGTATGGGTTTTGCTCGAAGCCATGTGGTGACCTGTAATTGTTAACTTCCCTTTGTCACTAATGGATAGTTCTCGCATTGGCAATCATACCACATCTCCTTACTTTTATATTAACATAGCAGTACAAGGTAATATATGCCTTACCAGTCCTGTGTAGGGTCAAGGTCATCAAATACTTCCATGTCCCACACTGATATTACATCACCGCCTAATGTAAATGTAAAAAGATATCTAGATTTAAAACAACACGCTGTATGATTTAATTACTTCCTTTTTTTTATCAATGAGTAGAAAACAGTTTTTTTTAGATATGTCCTTCGAAAATGAAGAAAAATGGACAAAAGATTTTGATATCGTTTTTCATTTACTTTATTGTATCTTCTAGTCAAACTGAAACAATTTTATCGATTTTGCATAATTTAGACTTCCAAGACTAGACAAGTTGGACTACAGAGCCAACAACAATGGTGAATAGAGAAGTTCTTAGCGTGGAATAATCTTTGTTTCACTTTTTTATTATCATGGTCAATCGTACATTGTCTTATTCACTATTTCCTTTAAACCCTATTGTTTTGAAGTGTGAGAAACGCCTTTTTAACTATTTTTTTAATTAAATATGTTTTCTTTAAATTCAGAGAACCTGAACACATTATTGCTCATAGTAACAATACGATAGTAAAGAAGCAGCAACCAAAACTATTCTGTATTTCACAATGACTACATGTACATACCCAAATCTGCTGCTTCATGGGCCACGGAATAGTTTCCATGAAAATCTACCTACAAGACATACATAAATCATTTCAAGTACAAACTGTTTATTTGACTAATTTTGCACAATGTATGCTTGAGGGAATTACATTCATTAACTTAAAATGATTTCCAAAAATTTATAACAACAAATTTCAATAAAACAATATTCGAATTTTCATGACAGTACGGAAATACAAGCTACTTGGCTGGTGCTTCATTCAGGAACCACCAGTTCACAAGTGCACCAGTAAATCATTACTAAATTGAATTTATCATACTATTCCAAAACATGATTGTTTTTTTTTTCTTTTTTCATCTTATTTTAACAGTCCCGTTGAAATGATAAAACTTTAAATGCTGTAGTTGACTGTTTGTCCCGCTCTAGAAAATCTATTTGATTCGGCATTTCTACTTTACAGTTAACATTCTAAGTGACAAAACACGTAAAATGACGAAGGTTATAGATAAACAGTATCGACATTGATCCAGATATAACATTAAGAAACTGCGAGTCTTCTGTACAGCAGGCCACATGTTTTATACTGAATGGATTGTACAAGCGAAGACTACTTACAGCAGCTAAAGTTGGAATGAATCCCTGTTCAATTCCTAGACTATGCCACACCACGTCTGACACTTGATGAGACATAATTCCAAGAATAAAAACTACAAGCTTTTCTGTTGCCTTCAAAATGATTAAAGAAAATCGAAAATTTTAACAATGTTTATATAATGCTAGTACAAAAATTGTGCTAAAATGTGAATTTTTACTTACAATGCATATACATGTTACTTTAAATGTACTATAAATAAAATGAAAGACTACCCTAGTTTTGAGGATTATAACTTTTATTATGATAAGACAACTATTCTATTTTCGCAAAAGTTTTACCGTCCCCATTATGAAGTCGACATTTAAAGTAAAGAATTAAAACAAAAACAAAAACAAAATATTGTAAGAAGTTTAACATAGATATTCAATAAAACATCTGTAATTAATTGATTTCATTTTAAATATTGGAGATTTGATCATGGTGTGTTACTAATAATCAAGTTCAATGATATTGCTAGAAACAGTTTTTTTTTAACATTTTATTCAGTTGCATATTGCATTTTTTTTATTGCTGCAAATTATATTCAAACCTCGTTCCATGGTTGTTGATACTTGTTCCTGATGTAGTTAACTGAGGCGGTGATAAAAGGTGTCCAATGAGTGTCCTCTGATATTTGGCTGTAGTTACCTACAGAAGTGTAAATTATGAGTGTTATAAACGAAATCTTGATAGTCAATACAATCTAGGTCTCCCTGTGAAATAGTATAAAATGACTTTGCTATCCTTTGAACAACTTCTGCTAATTTAAAAATGGAAGACATAATGCAAGATAAGTTAAAGTTTGATTCATATAAAGAATGACCAACGCAGATACAATTATCTGTAGGAAACCCCTTTTTAAACCAAACGTCGACTGAAACTGACATCACAAGATACTATTTTATAGATAGAAAAACCATATGTTATACTTTTCAGCATAAAGACGGCATTCCTGTTTAAAACAAACTCATCATCATATCGATGAATACATTATTATGAAAAGGTACTAGAATCTTCATAAAACTGTACGTCCCACTATGTTGTTTAAACCTCTTATTGAATCTTGGAAAGTTTAATCAGTACCTCGATCAAAAATATCACATTGCAATTCAAATAAACGATACACACAGATACAGTCATGTCGACTGAAGGAACCATAGCCCACGCTAGAAAGTCACGGATCGATTGAAAGCAAAACTTTGTGAAAATGGATTGATTTAGTACCCGAGCCTAAATTGTTTCCATATATATTTACTTATAGAATAGCTTTGGCGTTTGAACTATCAACGGAGTACTTGTTATATATAATATATAGTACATATATGTACCTTCTTTACACAAATTACTGTAAAAGGCATCAGGAAACGCGCTTCCAGCTAAGAAAGCATCATTGTGGTTGTTCATTAACTAAAAGAATAACATTCATCATTATTGATAGTTAAACAACTAATTACTAAAGAAAACATTCATCCACTAAACAAATATTTGAATTTTAGAAGTTCTGTATAGTGACGTTCCACCTCTTTTACTTGTTTTATGATTCAGATGTTGCACATACTCAGAATGTAGAGTGAAACTACATTGGTGTTGCTGCAGAGACAAACGATCTGAAGAGGAAAAAATAACAATTGATTGGCTTATAATATGTCTAGTTAAGATGATATGTCTCTCTTCGTACTGTTGTCTTGTGAGGTGACACATTTAAAAAATCGATTGAACGTGTCCATTCAGTTCAAGCACGATTCGTATGTTTAATTTATTAACTAATTATTGTCTTGAATATAATTGAAATAGTTAGTTTGACTGTCCCTCTTGTATCGTTCGTCCCTCTTTCAGGGAATTCAATGAGTACTCCAGCTTTCTAGTATCGCTCGGTAGTACCGATTATTGAATATTGATTTCCTGTTAGAACATTGTCCCTTTCTATTCAATAAAATCGTCTTATGTCAAGATGAATTATTTCCACAGAGACTAACGAAGACCTGACTACAACATATTATTACTAGTATATCATGTCTTAATTTAACCAAACATTCAGGCTGTAAAGACAACTGACAAAAACCATACATAGTACAGTGCATAAATACAAATGTGAATTTTACCTTCTGATAATCAACCGTTTTTCCATTTCCCAGGAAATAAGATCTTGCTCTGTGGCCTGGAACAGATATGAACAAAATTGAAATAAGTTATAGACGTTTTGCTGAGTTAAAAACACGCAGTCATTATAAGCTATAAGTACATTTAATGACAAATTGAAAAAATGGGCGGATAATGTAAACGAATTTGCAGTCCTATGCGCTTTCGAAAAATATGTCTTCCGTGTATAATATCACAATCACATTAGTTATTTTCAAAACTGTTCTAAGTCGTTAAGAAAAATAATGGAGGAAATGAATGACCCTTGTCTGTACCGCCAATACTAGAATAGAAAAATACAAAGAATCTTCACCTTGTTTATTATACAAGAACGAGGTGATTGCAGTATACCAACCAATCCGTCTATGGGGATATAACATAATCAATCGTTGAGTCGCACTAGCGAAAGTTAGTCCGATCCTTAGAGAATAAATTAACTGATCAGAAGACTCATTTTGATTTTTTTTATTAACTAACAAAATTACCAATCGACATATTACTTGATATGACACAATTATCACGAATAGCACTTCAAATATTCACGTAAAAGCCATTTAACATTAAGCGACTTCTTCATATATTCATCTAACATTGGTTATGATACTTTGCTTAACAATTGCATAAAAATAAACAAGTTCTTTTATCTACTTTTCAGTAATGGGACTGTGTAAAAATTGATATTATCTGGGATATCACCAGAATCCAAATTTCCTTCTGTATAATCAAAAATATTATCTTCCTTGATTTGTTTTAAATACTCGTATACAACTTCAATTTTGATACTGGAATTGATGAATTTGTTGTTATAATGTTCTTATAGAGAATTGTTAAAACAACCTTTGTATCATTTTTTAATAAATGTCGAAGATGGTATTCAACAAACAATTGGCATCCACATGCAAACCAAAAGTGCTCCTCTTCTTGCCGATTAGTTCCTTTATTCATTTGATGCTGACTTTATATAGGCACTTGTAATGAAGATTGAAAAGAAGCTAGCATTATCCTTAACTTTTGTTCCTCTATATAGACGATATTCTCTCTCACTAAATAATTCAAAGTTTGGTGACTATTTCGAACGCATCTATTTGATCAAACTTGAATAAAGGATACCACAGAATGACTGCCTCATATCTTGACTTACATCCACAATTTGACAATGACGGTCAGTTCAGAACAAAACATTACGTTAAAAGAGATGATTTCAGCTTCCCAATAGTGAACTTTCCATTTCTATGCAAGAACATTCAAGCAGCCCCTGCATATAGAGTACATATCTCTCAGTTTATACGATATTCCAAAGCTTGCATTTCCTTTCATGATTTCCTTGATAAGAGGGTTTCTACTTACAAGGAAGCTATTAAACTACGAATTCCAAAGAATGAGGTTGAAATCATCCTTTCGAAAAGTTTTCGGTTGGTCGACCGTTATGGAATATCCTTTTCACAGATGACGAGGGATATGTTCTAATTATCCTTACCACAATCCCGTACTCTTGTCCTCGAACATGATCTACCGAATCCGACTTATCACCGGGTTTGTACGTACATTAGCAACACGACAGGTGCCACAAGTGGAGCAGAATCTGCTTACCCTAACGGAGCACATGAGATCACCTAGTGTTTGATCGGGGTTCTTGTTGCTCAGTCTTTAGTTTTCTATGTTGTGTTTTGTTTACTTTTTTTTTCGTGTTTTGCCATGGCATCATCAGCTTGTGTTTGATTTATGAGTTTGAATATCCCATTAGTATCTTTCGCCTCCCTCTTAAAAATATGCTGTTTATTTATCATATACAATCTATATTTATCGTTACGCTTTGATCTATTCTATTCTTTTGTGCTTACAGTTTTTGTCCCAATAGAAGGCGTAAGATACCAAGGGGACATTCAAAACTCATAAATCGAAGAAAAACTGAAATCGCCATGGCGTAAAACGAAAAACGACAAGAAGACGAACAAACAATACATAGAAGACTGAGGAACACGAATCCATCACCAAAAAAATTTTTTTTTTTTTCAAAAGCTATAATTTATTTATTTTCATAACTATTTCGTTTGCATAAACATTTGGTTACCCTTTACACAAAATTCACCTATTTTACTTATAAAAACATTTGTTTGACAGGAAACTTTTATACACTTAAATACAGTTTCAATTCTATTTGTTTTGATTCTGTTTAACATTGTTATATGACACTTGATATTTTCATTGGGTTGTTTGGAAATTTTGTCAGTTTTTAATTACAGAAAATCAAGGTCAGCATGGTCATCTCTTGTTTTGGTTCCATATTAGTTATCATTGGTTATATATTATCAATTTGACCAACGAGAACAAATTACATGCTTTCTCTTAGCATGCATATAGATACGCCGGTATTTTGCAATTGTAATGATTGCTACTGGACACCGTTTTTGTTGCGTCAAAGAATAAACAATTAATCATTATCATAGATATTATCATTGTTATTATAAATATCAGTATTTGCGATTGTCCTGCCTGACTACGATCGATGACGTTGCTACGTATTGCAGGGTCCAATCTTGGCAAGCGGCGTTTTACAGTGGCAATAAAATAGCCTATTGGATTATAAGCCTGGTATCTTTGAAGAGCTTTTACTATCACTGCTGGTTAATCATTATCATAATTATTATAATTGTTATCATAAATATCAGTATTTGAAATTGTCCGGTCTGATGACGATCGATGACGTTGCTACGTATTACAGGGTCCAATCTTGGCAAGCGGCGTTTCACAGTGGCAATAAAATTGCCTATTGGATTATAAGCCTGGTATCTTTGGAGAGCTTTTACTATCACTGCTGGTTAATCATTATCATAATAATTATTATTGTTATCATAAATATCAGTTTTGAAATTGTCCGGTCTGATGACGATCGATGACGTTGCTACGTATTGCAGGGTCCAATCTTGGCAAGCTGCGTTTCACAATGGCAATAAAATTACCTATTGGATTATAAGCCTGGTATGTTTGAAGAGTTTTTACTATCACTGCTGGTTTACGTTTCGTTATTATTGATATTTATAATAACAATAATAATATCTATGATAATGGTATCTTTGAAGAGTTTTTACTATCACTGCTGGTTGACGTTACGTCCCGGAGGGTATCATCAGCCCAGCAGTCAGCTCTTCTGTGTTGACATGAAAATTCGATGATGCGGTCCTTTTCAGTAAATTGAATTTTTACATAATATTGAATTATTCGAAACGCTAAATAAATGCAACAGTAGTATACCGCTGTTCAAAAGTCATAAATCAATTGAGAGAAAACAAATCCGGGTTACAAACTAAAACCGAGGGAAACACATCAACTATAAGAGGAAAACAAAGGAACAACAGAAACACTGAAGTACAACAAAAACAAACGCCAACATACATAGAAACGAACTATTTGATAACAACTGCTATATTCCTGACTTGCGACAGGACATTTTAAGAAAAAAAGGTGGGTTGAACCTGGTTTTATGGCTAGCCAAACCTCCTGCTTATATGGCAATGTTAAAAAATATCGTTAAAATGACAACACTACGTGACATAAATACAGCACAAACACACGCAAGAACACTCATCACAGAGAAACGCACAAATAAATGATATAATAGTCGATACAACATGTAAACCGCAGAATTACAACGAACATCTTCCATTAACGACAGACAGAACAGGACATCACAAACAGTGACGTATTTTTGTAACGATTATATAATTTTGAAATTCATACAATTATTTTCACAATACTGGTCCAAACAATAAGCATGATAATGATGGTATTGAAAGGCTTTTTTTTTACAATTATTTGGACTACAAACGATAAGACATAACACATTATCCAACCGAAACCACAACAGAAACGTCATAAATAAATACATGAATGTTGGATGAATAAAATACCGAGATACGTCGTATAGCAATGCAAATTCACACTCGACAAAACAGTCATATTCGGGAATAGGTCACGTTCGGTACTTTGCAGACAGACGACATAGATGTTAAACCACAATCTAAGACGTGGTAAAAATGTCATTAGTTAGTTTAGACACAGACACATCGTATAGATCAACCAATTCGTGATGGTGTCCATGAAATTTACGGAGTGTCATTTTTAATCTTTCCTCCTCATAACTCTGTTGGAGCAGTTTCTGCGTAAGGAGCACACTCCTGTATATGAAGTCCGTATAGTGTGAACATGCACGAGCATAACGTATCAATTGAGATATGTTAACACCATACGACGGAGCAGAGGGTATGTTACTGCTGAGAAATGGGAAATTGATTATTGGGAAGTTAAAATCATCCCGTTTGTCATAGATTTTAGTGTGAAGTCGTCCATCTGTGTCAATATTGAGGAAAAGATCAAAGTATGAAGCAGTCCTTCTTGTATCTGTAGTATCCATAATTTCAAGTTCACTTGGATATATGAGATGCAAGTACTGACTGAAATATGGCTAAGGTATTTCTACTCCAGGCATAGATGATCTCAATCGTACATGTCACAAATTTTCGGAAATAATGGTCGTCAATGTTGTATAACTAGGTCATGGAGTTGAGTAGACAGTTGGTCTGTACAGCGGTATATAGAATGATAGTTCGAGACTCGTTTTTGTTGCCAAAATTATCGGAAGCATTCGATATACTGGTATGTAATTGATCAATGGCTTGTATTGAGCGTAAGCCTCAGAATGTCTCACGAAAACAATCTGCTGCAAAAGTATACATATGCATATAATGAAATTTTAAAATCGATAAAACAAAAAGGAAAAGAAGAAACATACTTATTAACATATGTGTAGTAATTCCGCATCCTTCAACTGATATTAATAGTAAACATGATACTAAAACTACCAAGCATTTGGTATTCATGATTAACAATGATGAAGTATAAGTTTGATAATATATTTATTTTGTTATCAGTTAAATTAGATTTTATCACGAGACATTATTCTGCAAGATATTTTTGTACACATGCGTATGCAAATGTATATTCTATATATAAATAATACGATCTCACCTTTTTTTTGCAATACTACGTCGAGCGGCGTTGTCAGTCGTGTATATTTTTTTTTCATGAATACCCTAACCCAAATAAAAATTTCAAAAGTATATCTCACAGGTGCGATTTATCCATGTTGAAATAAAGCCGTTGTAATTTATCCATTTTAAAACAAAACAGGTGCGATTTATATACATATTTAAAAAAAATACATAATTTAAATGATTCCCGTAAAATGATTTTGTACGTACGAAATGTTATAACAAACATCTCGAATGCTTAATTGAGATAGTTTAGACATAACAAAGACTCCTCTTATTTCATTATTATAGACATTGACAAGTTCCTTGTTCATGAAATTAATTGTCTGTTACCTCGGTTTCTGAGTTAATCATTGACGAAAATCTTTTCTGTTTTAACGTCTTCAACATAGGTTTTAATAATGACAATCTTGAAACATTTGTCCATATACTTTTAAGAACGGTTCT